GAAAACATTCTACGAGACAGTTTTTTAATTATTAACAATTGAAGTAAATCCTTATGAATAGGCTTTTATAAAGATCACGTGATTTTTATTGAACTATAATTTCTTCTAGTATGGTAACGTAGTTTTGATCATAAAAACGCTCAAACCTCCTTAATATATAAATTGAGACATTTGATTATTTTACAATATAAGTCATGTGAGATAATTGACTGAATTTAATCATAGAAACGCTTGAACGTCTTTAATTGACGAACGACTAAATTTGTTATATTGATGCTTGCAGTTAGTCATGATTAATTTGTTTATATAAGTTCACGACTGAGATTAGAACACATCAGACGTCTTTCTCGATAATAAAAATCTTGCTATCATTTTAACCCTTAAATGCATTGCGTGTTAAAAATAAAACGGTAACGTTGTGCCCCTGTTACACACTCATAATTACTTATGTTACTTAATAAACTTTTCGTTCATTGTAATCATTTCTTTTGATGTTCATTATTATTTTACAATATTTATGTTTTCTTGAATTTATATCACTCTTCATCGATTCAAAAAATATTATAATAACTTTAGTTTTAATATGACTCTAAAATAAGAGAATCGCATATTAATGTGCTGCTGATGAAAATATCACTTTTTCCACAAAAAAAAAAAAAAAAAAAAAAAAATTGTCCACAATATTTTACATTAAACCACACAAAAATAGCAAGTAGCAAAATAAAAATATTTTCAAAGTAAAATATGAAAGAAAACTATTATAAAAAGTCACAAAAAGAACTGTACAGCTCCAAAAGAGTTCTCAATTGTCAGCACTTGTCACATTCATCTGATTAATCTTTGCTGTGTAAAATTGAATGCATTCTTTGTGGTCTGTATAAAATTCGCATTAGTTTGTAAATGATGTCTCTCAGGGATTGTATGTATTTTCTTTTCTTGTATCGTTATCGGGGAAACCAGGAAGATCATTATAGTACACAAGAAGAAACAAGTGATGGATGAAGGGGAATATAACTTCCTGTGAATCAAATGTCACTTTTTTCTAGCAACTTGACACTATCAGTCGTCAGAAAATTGATGCTTTAGTGGATTGATGCTTTTAAATTTTTATTGCAAATACAAATAAAAAAAATTGCATACTGAAAAAATTGATAACTTTCATTACTATTATAAACAATGACTAATTTATATGTGAACTATGAAAATGAATAACTATAATAATAAACTGTCAAAATACGATTTGCTTATATCCTTCATTTTTTCTATAAAAAGGAAAATTTATCTTACTCAACTCATAGAAAAATTCGAATAAGTGCAAACCCATAAGTGCATTTGTTATAAGATTTATTCAACAAAAAAAATAATAATAGTTTTCCGCTTTTTTCTTCACTTACTTTATATAGAGTAAGACAAAGAGTAATTTTTGGACGAGAAAAAGAATGCTCTTGTCTGAAAGGATGGTTTGACATAAAAAGTTACGAGCAAATTATTCAATCAGAAATTTGATAAAAATAGTCACTAATTAATATAGCAATTACTCACCTTCCGTACTTTTTGGTCGCATAAAAATTTCGTTGACAATTTTTAGAGTTTGATGAACAAATAAAAAACACCAGTCTCTTGTTTATAAGACATGAATGAATTTATTAGTTGTTTCATAGTTGATAGAAGACTCAACATGAAGCTAGATATAAGGCATTAGGTCATGCTTAACGTCAACACCAAGTTGTTAACTTAGCAGGAAGCTCGTTCGTTATCGAGTTAGCATAGTGCACTAACGAGCCATGGTTCGAAACTTACGGGGTTGTAAAGTGTTAAGTTTAACGCGTCTATCAATTTCACGACGCTTTTCGGGTTTGGGAGTTGTTTCATTAAATTTAATAATTATCACTTCAAACTTACTAACTTATTTTGGAATCAGGTGAGTTTTTCTATCGTATTGTAAAAAATTTCTATATTTTTTAGACAAGTGTTTGTGACTGTATTTACAGTAAAACCTGATGATGTTATTTACTGTCGCTTTATGACTGAAACTCGTCCAGATTAGACGTCATTTCATTTGTTTCAATATTTAGTTATTTATCAATTAATAGAGTTTTTGTCTCTAATACTTCACAAAATTTTAATTACATAATTTCAACATTATTAGAAAATGTTCTGTTATAAAGTCACAAAGTATGGAATTATTAATATCTACGTGTGTGTAAAAGAAAAACCGTGTTAGTAAGTTGGTTTATCCATTTGCCGCTAGATGGCAAATAACTTGAAAGTACTATTTCGTGAAACCTTGATATATATAGGTGGTAGTTACTGCCGTAAATGAAATGATATCAAGAGGTCATATTCTTAAAGATATTTTTAAGTGTGTAGTGCTCAAGGGTAACCTTGCACTATTTAATAATGCTCAAACGGCTCCCGCGTAACGATCTAGGGGGCGTTACCCCAATTTTTAATTATTCATAGGTGTCGCTTGACCCATGGTCAAGCTATCATGACACCATCTTCGCTCTCTTCGTCCTGGGACGCCGAACAAGGTACATTGACTGTCTTCCTGCCGTCAATCTGCTCCAAAAAGGGAATTAAGATTGGTGACTTCGATAAATCACGTTATTTGGAGGAAGTGCAAGATTGGACAGCATCTTTATTTCTTTTTCTGGGATCACCGCCGCTACTCAAGTCATTAAGTAAAACGGTTAACATAAAAGTCAACCCAAAAGGCAAATAAGCACGGTAGGAGATTTTATATATATATATATATATATTTTGCTAGGCATGAACGTAAAGTCTACACTCTAGGTCGCGTTTGGCATCCATACTAATTTTAATTGCGTGATCAAATACTCAGCAGCACTACGATCATAAAGATTTGCATTTTGAGAGTGTTTTATAAAGTGCGTTCTGACTCGAATTTATGTCGCGGAATCCAGTGTCAAACCTGGATTCATTTTTCTATATATTGTAATATAACGTGTGCGTGAACATAAAAATTGTATCATTTTGTATGGAGCATTCTGATAAACTATTTTGCCAATAAATTTTGCTAATAAGGTACTTAGATTTTGATATTACTTTATGTTATTTATAAATAATTGTCACACTACAAGTGAAGTTTAATTGTTAATAATAATTAGTATTGTGATTAAAGATATACGGAATTTTGGAGCAGATATTAATATTGTAGATATAGAATTTCGTTACAATATTTATATCTGCATCATAAGTCACAAGAAAAAAAAATCTATATCTATCATGCTACAACTGCATGATAACACCGTTTGATAGTCAATGTTAACACAGTCATGATTGATCATGGCCTTTTTGCTCATTTCTGTATACATTCTGTACTAGAATGATATATCATTCTAGTACGGGTAGAAAATAAAATCAATTTCAATTATATCAACGTAATTGATCATTTAAATAAAATTTAGCTACTCAGGGAGGAATCGTAAGTGTAGAACTAGAACTCCATGTTTACTTTTATTACATTTAGTAGCCACTTTTTTTCAATAAAGATGTTAAACAAACTGCAATCAGCACTAACATTATCAATTGATGTTTCTGTTCCAATTTATTGTTATTTTTTTTCTTAAACTATGCATTTGTGCATTATAACTAACGTGTCAACACATTCCATTATTAACTCAGCTGCATCTCCTATTGCACAGTCTGAAAAGTAGAACAATAGTATAATATTCCGCGACCTAATTTCATCACATGTTCTGGAACAAGTACTGATGAGTGGAAACATGTTTTGTCTTTTAGTCATATGTAAACAAACTTTTTTTTCGACTACATGAATGATGTCTCTATCATTTGATTTTCTAGAGATTTTTACCACCACTTTATCTTGAGACTGCTGAAAAGCTACCTTCTCCAGTAGCTCTCGTGCTAGATATGTTGAACACTTTCTTACAGGTGTTTCTCTTCTATTATTCATCACTTTTTTGTCAATTATAATCGCATTGAACAAACATACACTGAAACAAATTTTTGCTATTATAACCATACGTTTTGCTGTCAGAACGAAACACTCTCAGCTAACCTAAGTTTAGTTACTCCGTTTCGCTATCGTAACAATACTCGGATAGCTACGGTGTATTTCTGTATTTATGCTACTGTTTTGCTGTCAGAGCTAAACAACATATCGTTACAAGGGCTCAACGACAATTCAAAAATAAAATTTCTCTTTAAGAGTTTAATGTTAACTCTTTTTAATAATTATTTATTTCTATAATGAGGAGGTAGTAATAAATAAATTACAGATTGCAGAGCATGTCAATATATTGAACAAGGATTGATTACAATATGATTCGACTCAATGTTTCAGGCATATGATGATCCATTTCTCTGTAGTAGTGATTTTTTAGCTCTAAGAGACAAACGTTTCGTTCTGACAACCGTACAAGTAGATTGTCTGAAAAACTCTATAGTTATTTTCTTTTTACAAGAAAACATATTGTTATAATAACCATAATAAAGAGTTGTTTTAACTATAAATTTTAGCAAAACAAAGTATTGCTGTTACAGGGATTTATTTCGTTCAAATAATTTAAACGTTTGGCTCCCATTACGATCCGCATTTGTCCGTTAACAAAACACATCTAGCAATACTTTGTTTCGTCATGATAGACAAATTTTTTTTATAGTGTACTTTTTGAAAAAATATATATTGAGGATAGCAAAGTGTGTGAGAACAATAAAAAAGCGCTTTTCGCTTTCATATTTAGAGTAAGTTGTTGGCTTTTATCTGACCACTGACTCAATTAGATATATTCTCAATAAAAGGTGTTGTCTTTAAAATATCGACCCGAGTTTTATTATTTCACTGTCTTAAAACTTTATTGTTCCGTCATTAAAAAAGTATTACTATTTAAATCAACAATTGATCAATAATTCCATAGTCTCTTATTAATAAGAGACAAAAGTATAGATAAATAACACCCTTATATTTCGAATTAAATGCTGTTTTTATACATTATAACTTTTTCTCTTTTCAGTTTATTTGCACGACCAGAGATACGTTTTACGAGCGGAGCTGGATCAAGATGGAAACTTGAGAGGTAAGTTTAAACACTGTTTGAATATTAATTAGCAAGTGAGTCACCGTTGGCTAAGATTAACGGATAGCTGATAAAATATGAAAACCGGAAAGATTACGATATTTGAAATTCACGAGAATTGTGTTTATCGTATGGTTCGCATAAGCCATTAAATTTTACTTATTAATGATATCTTTTATGATTATATCAATGAAACACCCTCCGGAGCATTTTTAAGTATTTCAACTTGTTCTATCCCGAGAAATCAAGTCTACCCAATTTCTACGAAGTGCAAATTAAATTACATGAAATGTTGTTTTTTTTACATTTTTTTAGCAAATGTATTTCGCACTAATCATTTCAACATTGATAAAATAATGCATTTCTATTTTAAATAAATAAAAATCAGTGAACTACAAATCAAAAATATTATTTAGTAATATTCATTATTAAATGACTACAGGAATTATTGTTTAGTCATAATAATTATTACTTTTCAATTATATAAAACGAAATTTGCTATGCTTGAGAATGTTTCGAAGCGAAACAAGAAACTAAAATTAATAAAAATATTTTTTTAAATTAGTTGGAACCCGAGTCAAAATTTTTATAATAACTTTATACTGACTATACTGAATTTTCAGTATAATCAGTACAAATTCAATAAAAGTAAGGATAGGAGTTTTAGAGTTAAAGTAATACTGAATTTTTATTGAAGACTTATGAATAACTCCGTTTTCAGCTGTATCAGTATAGATTAAGTATTCAAAATCAATTTTTAAATACTGAATATATACTGACACTTCTGAATATCCGGATTCATATTTAATACATTCAGTAAAAAATCAGTTTAAATTTCGTAGATTCAGTATAAAATAAATATTAAATAGAAGAGGTTGGTTACTATAGTAACCAATCTTATTTTGGATTTTAGTGTAATAAGAACAATAATTATTTTAGTAATAAAATCTACAAGAGACCGTTAGAAACGAATAGCTGTGCTGTAAAGTACATAGATTCAAACATATATAAAATGGGTTTTATAAACTGTTTTATTAAATATCAATATAGAATCAGCATAGAAATTAAAAAATTAATACATTTAATATAAAATCAGTATTGTTTTAGAGTACTCAATATTGATTCTATATGAATTCAGTATATTCAATATAAAGTTATTATAAAAATTTTGACTCGGGTTTTGAGTGGACATCTGTGTGTGTATGTACACGGAGAAAAAATTCCAATAAAAATTACCGTGCTCAGCACAACAATCCACGCGCAAATGTCAATTCCCTAAAAAATTAAGACAACCTTCAAAGAAAAATTAGTAATCCTTTTAAAATTTTTGTTATAGATTCAATATTTATTAAAAAGAGTAAAAGTAAAAATTCTTATGCAGCACGGTAATATTCGATAAATATTAATTTTTATTCAAACTTTAAACAAAAATTAGTAAGTGACTAGAAAAAAATGAGAATCTGTATATAATTTATTATGATCCGTGTGGTAGGAAAAATTCGGGTGCTCTCCTATAATTTTTTCTATTCTCGAGAGTTTCCGTGCTGGGTCGGGAATCTTCGAATTATCGGTCCAACACAATCTTTCTTTGTATTGTAAGACCGTTCACACAATCAAAAACATAAGCCGTAAAACGTACAATTTAAGACGTACGCGTGCATACTAACATCATAATAAGTTAAAAATTGGTTTGTACGCATGCGTACATCTTATGGCTTTTGTTTTTGATTGTGTGAACACCCTCAGTGCTATAGTTACTTTTTCCATATTGTAAACAAAGATGACATTCATATTTTTCGTTACGATTCAATATTGGCGGCAACACGTTATATCTTAACAATTTATGATAAGCTTAAACGGATTGACGCGGTGGACTCATGGGTAAGCGTCAGCTTGACACACGATGGGTCGCGGGTTCGAGTCCCGGCCGAGACAAAAGTCATTTATATGATTTTTCTCGGGCCACCGTGAGCGGGAGAGGAAGATCTCTTCGGAGAGCCGGGTGGTTGTATCGACGACACAGGTTTTCTGCGTAAGATCCCGATCGTAGGGATAGGGGGGGGGCAGTATTGTAAAACGTGTGCCGTATTTCATTCCAACGAATTAATTAGTTAAGAAAGTTAATTATCAATGAACCTAATTTATTTATTTATTTGTTTATATAACCAAAAAAATTATCACTAAACTTAAATAAAATTGTTTGTCGGTTACGTAGTTATCACAGCTAACGTTACTAAATTTTCAGGTGCTGTGGAACACTAAATTTTCTGGTGCTGCCAAAGTAATTTTCAAAAAACTGAATGATACATTTTCTTATGTAACTTATAATTTTTGTATGTTGATCATTACTTTTTACTTTTCAGTAAGTTTGAACTCACATTCTTGAGCAGCACGGTAATTTTTGTATGGATTTTTAAATAAAAATTAACGGAATTTTTTCTCCGTGTACGTATGTTCGTATGTGTGTAAAAATTTTTTTTATTGATCCCAATTTAACATGTTATGTAACGCAATGATTATTTCTTTAAGTTTACGACTTGATTTTATCAGTTATTATATCTATTTGTCTCTTTCCAACATCATTTGGAAATACATATCAGCTTGCACGCGAAACTCTGCTCGATTTTACTACTATACGACTGGCAAGCAAAGTTAACATCACGCGATTTTATTTATGTTCACCACAGAATATACTTGAGAAGCGACGACAGAAAGTAAAAATATAAAAACCAGATAAAACGCTGTTTCAGCATAGCTAATTGCATTAGACATTGTAAATTACATCTATTTATTAAGATTATTCAACAAATTCTCATTTTTGATAGTAGCATTCTTAACTTTTTTATTACCTTAAATGAAAATTTATTCAATTATTGTAACAATAAAGCAAGAAAAAATTTAACTTCAATTAATATAAAAAAATTATTAAATTCAGCTGATAAAATTTGTTAAAATGAATGATGTAACAATAATGTATTATCTGATAATTGTCGGTAATTTATGTTGAAAATGACTTTCTTATTTTTTCAGGAGAAATACAAAGGCTGCGAACTTTTACAGAAGTATCATTAATTTTGTGGGTTCTTCTTTGCATTCTTACAGTCATTTGGGTGGCTAGAAGACTGCTGAATGCAAAAAAAATTAAAGGAACTTTCGACAAAATATTTGGAAAAAAATGGATAAAGGTAAATATAGTATTTTAAATTAATTGTATGTCTTCATTTAAATGATTGACAATGTGAGCAATGCTTGGTTTATTTATTTCAGTTTACGATTAAGACTAGAGCACATCAGACATTTTTGATTTTAAAAACCTTTGCTGTCATTTTTTATGAACTTTATGTTCTTTAAAATTTTGTTTCGTATCATTATTTTATGATAAATATAAAATTCAATTGTTTGAACAAATCAAAATAGTTTTATAAAAATAAAATTAGACTTAGGTAGCACTCTAAAAAAAGAACATCATATATAGCTGTGCAAAGTGGTAGTTATATTAATATACTTCTCAAGGCAGAAAAAGTGACTACAATGTTAATTAAATGAATGATATCATATTTAAACACTTCCAATGCATTAAAATAAAGCCCTTCCTCATTCGTTCAGATGCTTTTTTACTACTGTCACAGAGGAATGAAAAAATTGCTTCAAATGACAATTTTTCCCATTTTCCTGTCGCAATTACTCAAAGTATAGAAAGCTTTTTTCTGAAACTCCATGTGTGCTCTGTTTGCAAGAATGTACTGCACAAAAAAAAAGATGTAAGCTTTAACTACGAGTAAGATAGCCACCTCAGCAGAAGTCTATTTCAAAAGTGCCGGTTAAAATGACTTTAATGATCATCTCTAAGTCTATATTTATTCCCATCTGAAACATTCTATCATTATTCTATGGAAAGATGAACCTTTCCAGGAGGTATGGTCTAAATATATATTGGTCTACACTTTGTGATGTTCTGAGAGTGACTTTGTGGACATCAAATAATGATTCCTTTTCTAATACCCCTACTCTTTTCACATCCTTAAGTAATCTTATTGCATTTTTTTCTTTTTTTTTCTAATTGCTATTTTGAAACATTAGTTTATCTTCCACCTTCGGAATATTACTCTTTTATATTAGATTTTTTTAACTTTTTTATTATTATAAAACAAATGTAAACTCATTATCTATAAATAAATTAATTTATTTACTTTGCAAACTTTACATTGTAATAAAAATGCATTAACTAGTAACAAAAAGACCTAACATTTTTTTTTCTTTGAAAAGACAGCAAACAGCAATAGAGTGCACGACGACGTAGAGAATGGAACAATAAAATCTCAACAAGCTGGTGTAAAACCAACAATGCCAACGATAAGTGCATCGGTTTCAGCGTCGTCAACACAGGATTCTAATGCATGCTCTACTACAACCCCAAACACCACAAGTACTCCGCTTTCAAAAAAATACGCTAGTGAAGATAGTACCCTGGAATTCGCTTATGACAATCTGGCGATGACAACAAGCATTGAGTCTGCTCAACCAAAATCTAAAAAAGAAAGTTCTTTTTGAGTTTTACATCAAAAGTTTTGTAAATATACGACACATCAATTTTCACAGTAAATTACATACCAAGATTTTTCAGTTGTTTGTATCATAAAAGTGAACTGCTGTTGTTTAGGGGAATAATAGAGGTAAAAGTACTTGTCTAACTCAAGAAATAATGTTTTTGTAAAGAAATATTTTTACGACGATCGAATGATTGTCTTTTGAATTTTCTATTTTTTGTTTCATGGCTGAATACTAACGGATGATTGTTTAAGAATGGAAGTTATAAATTGATTTAAAGTACGTTTCTTCTGTTAGAAGAAGAAATGTGCGGATAATTTTGGATTGATGAATTGATTATAAAAATGAGTAAGAAGGTAACATTAAATTGAATTCTGATTAATTGCTTACCAAAGGCAATTTTTTGGTTAACAAGAAATGTTATTTTGATTTTATGACTCTTTTAACACTACCCTGATAAACAAAAGTTGAAATGTGACATCAATTTGAGCTCAATATGTATGCATTACAACTCGATAATTATAACTCAAAATAATTGTTTACGAATTGATTCACTCATTCTGGAAGATTCTACAGCTCGCAAAGTAATCAAAGCATAAAAGATATATGGGCATAAAGATTCGTGATTAATAGAAGAGTCTGAAGGTTATTTGGATTGACATTTGGTATATTTTGATCATTGTCAGGTGTTTAATGCAACGTGGATTGGGAGATGGTCCTGTCATTGTCAGAAAATTAATCTGGTACCATATAAATTAGATGGTCTATTTTTTTATTGATATTTGTTTCAATATTAGTCAGCTATCTTAAAGAAATAATTGAGCTAATAGTTCAATTATGAATCTACTGTCATTTTATGGTTGTCTTTCTAAAAATTGAAACTTTCAGACATGAGTGACCATTATTTAAATTTTTATGGGAAAAATTATTTTCTATGTCCTGCACGACGTGTTCGTAACATTTTTAACAAATTGTATAAAAAATTAAGTACATTTACTCAACTCTTAAAAAAGCATTTTTAAAAAAAATGTTTGCAATAGATGAAAACTTAGCTATCAAGTATGTTTAACAACAGTCTACTTTGAGAATAATTTTAAAGAATCATTAAAAAAAATTGTCTTTTTACGATGAGTGAATATAACATTAAAAATAAAGGAACACGGGGTAAGATGAACTCCTTCATAAAATTATCAAGAATATGTGAAATTGCAAAATTTGAAATGGAAAAAAGAGAACTAAAATGAATTACATTAAACATGATATGAATGAATAGATGATTAAAATTTTTAGACTGCGCATAATTTCTAAAGGAACTATTTTGCTTCAATTTTCTTTAATGAAATTTTTAGAAACTTATATTACCCTAATTGATTGAAGGGACATTTTTATGAGCTGATTTATAAGAACTTGATAAAATAACCTTACATAATATCATTCAAGTTATCTAATATTAATATTAAAAAATAATATAAACTTACAATTAGATATGATAACTTTTTATTATATTTTCGTAATACGGTTGGTTCATACATTCGTGAACAATGCGGCTGTGTGACTTAAAATATGTTATAATATTTAAAATTCAACTATGAATATTCACTGGAATATTTCTGCGTTGTTTCGTTAAATAGAATAAGTGCTTAGGATATATTTAAAAAGAGTAAAATTATAAGAATAATTTATGCAGCCACTAAATTATGGAAAAATAAGAAAATTGGCAGTTGCCTGATATGCTTCATATGTGATGGTATTTTAAGTGTAAATACATGCGTGTACACGCGATTTAACTAGTTATATTGTTTACTTCTTAAGCATATATATGCCTTATCAGCAATTCCGTCCATGAAAGGCCTTATGAGCAACAGCATTGCGATAATCGTGTGCTTTGCATAGGTCGGTCACGTTTTACAGGAAGACGCGCTAAGAAAACTAAAATTCCTTGAGAAAAAATTATGAATCTACGCTCAACAACACAATGAAACGATATAACTTCTTATGACATTAAAAAAATTTACTTCATCTAACAATAATTGTAATGGAACGATAAAATTGAAATCTAGTGTACAAAATGAAAAAAAAACAATGCTCAATTTGAAGCTCAAGTCCTTAAACTCAATAACTGTGTAAATATTTATATTAAAGCTGTTGAGTTTATTGATTTTATCTGATACGTTTGCTCAGAGTCTTAAGGAAGTTCGGTTTTTTTGTCTCTATCATGTAACACTGACCGACCTTAATTATTTACTTAGCTTTTATAAAATACATAATTTAATTAATTTAAGGAATTATAAATAAACCTCATAGTTAATAAAAATAAGAAAAATAGATACAAGTGGAAAATAATGATATCGAATATTAAAATTATTAAAATGCACTTGAATTACAAATAGTTTAATCATAAATGTGTGCATATATATATATATATATTTTAGTAGCATATTTTTCTGATAATAAGATTGTTTAATTTTGTTAAAAATATTATATTTGCAGGTAAATTTTTTTATAGATTTAGATTAAATATTGTCAGAAAAAAAATCATGCTACGAGAAAAAGTTATGATAACTAGTGGTTTTATTAGAAATTTAATTTTAGTAACATATCGGCATAAAATTAATTGAATGACATGTTGAATGTATTCAGTGTAATAGTCGTAGATATATGATATATTGGGCTCATTAAATGAGCACCCAGTCTTCCAGAATTGATGATATTAATAATAGTTAAAATACGTTTGCCCAGAGCGTAGCTACTGAAATAATAATTAAACAACCATCTTTTATTTTCACAATCAGATAATTTCATTTTATTTTATTCAATTGCACTTAATTTAATCATAGTTATTAGAATATTTAAAATTTATAATTTTTTTTACAATCAATAGCAAGAATTAATTGTGAATAATTCTTGTGTTTATCATTTAAACTAATTAGTTGTATACTATTCAATTTATTTTATCAATTGTTTTAATGTTATGTATATAAACAGAATAAATTAAAAGTAAGTTTAAAGAAAAATACAACAAATTAGGAAAAGAAACATTTTAAATCAATAATGGATAACATTATGTACTCAATATCAGGGTCTATAAACAAATGGAATAATACAATGGAATAATACAATTCAATATAATGTTGATATAGCTCCGAAAATTTGATTCTGTTTAATTCATAGTAACTCCATCTACGTTAATTTGTACGTGACGGCAGATAAATTTCATTGTAATTTTCATCTTCATTAGCATATTATTTCTTCTGATGTAATTACAACTTTGAATGAATGAAAGTATATCTATATATTTATTATTCTAGATTATTCAATATATTTAAAAATGAACGCACTTGAATTTCTATTAATTGAAATCCGTAATTTTGTCATCTCTTAGTTTTTTTTGTTTATAACAAATTTCTATAGTTATAAACGATATACAATCGTTTCATCATATAAAGTTATTTATAATAACATATTATTGATATTTATCGCATACAATTATAGTAATAATAATTCAATTAATTGAACTCATTTGTAATTGTTTACAACAAATTGGAATTTTCGTGAACAATATATACTTGTTTACAATTATGTAAAGTTATTAACAACCATATTGTATTGATATTAATCCCAGTTTTCAATAGTATTAATCACTAAATAAGTAAAATTTCTTTCTTAATGTCTATTATACTCAATTGACTCAATACTTATTTTATAATCTTTTTGTTATGTAAAAACGGCTGGACCGAATTTGTTGAAACTCCTTTCAGATTTTTTCACTGTATTAATACAAAAAATAACAATTATTATTTAAAGATTAATAATTATTTTCCGAATAAAATTTGTTTCGAGTTGATATCTTTAGTAGTTTTCGAAATATCGGAAATGAAAAAACCCTCACATCCGCACACACGCACATACATACATTCATTTTCAAATCTTTTAATATGCTTTTAAATGTCTCAAACCGTAAAGATACGATAAAATTACGAATTTCAAAAATCGATCCCATTACAATAACTTCCTAAAAGAAAGTTAATAATAGAGTTTAACAATTAAGAATATTCATTATTATAAGATATAATACTGACTGGATCATATAATGAATAGTTACAATGTTTTTATGGAAATATGGTTCAATTAAAATTTTTGAAAATTGGTTTTTAGGTTTTTATGAAATTTATGTTTATTATTATTTTATGTATTATAATACTTCATAAAGAATGATATATTATCATAACTATAAGTAAATATGTTAAGATATTTAATTTCCATATAAATCTCTTCAATTTATTTTAATTTTGATTATAAATCCTTTTTTATTATGAAAGAAAAATTTAAAAATTAAAATTCTGTACGTTTGAAATTAAATGTCCTAAATTCCATTGATTATAATTATATTAAAAATTGTAGTATAAAGAAATAATTGAATGAAATAATTATGCAAAAGTTACTTTATTATTAGTTGTTATATTCAATAAGCAAGAATTTTATTAGACTGTTTTTATTAGGCATAAATAAGTTTCATTATTCATTAATAGCTAAGTTTATTAAACCATGTTAATGAGTTTATTTATAATATCACTGTACGTCATACGTACTCTTATTTAATATAATAATTAATTAACTTTATAATATATAATATAGTATCGAGAAATTCACCTACCAGTATAAAATTAAAAAACATCTTCATACATAGTGCAATCAAACATATTTGAAGTTACAATAACAATTTTTATATTCATCAAAAATTAAATAATTTTATACCAGTAATTTATATTATAGCTGTCACAGTCAAATTGATTAAAAATTGGAATAGTAAGCAATTGTAATTTTATAAATGTGAACAATGACTTTGTAACGAAAATCTGTAGAAATAAAATAATTCATCACTTTTAGTAAACAACTACTTGTACTTTATATTTGCTAGTAAAATCTTTATGACACTAATGATATCAGAGTTTGTTATCATTACTATAATACAAGGAAATTTCATTTTCTTTAGATATTTTGTTATATTTTCAAGTATTGGTCCATATATTTAATTGAAACGAAAATTATGACACCTTATCATATCTTTTTCCGGCTCTTATTTTATAAATCTCTTACATTTTTACATAAAAATATATGCAGTCATTTTTTGTTGGGAATATTATACAAGAGTTTATAATTAAATCTCATTTGTTTTCGAAACATCTATCAAGGCTTTGATAATATTTAAATCTTAAATATTAAGTTATCTAAATAGATATGTCACACAGGTATTGGATAATTTATTTTATTGTGAACATGAGGCATTAAATTTACTACTTAATTGTATTTTTGAAAGGAGCAGTGTTAGAAGTCAAAGAAAAATAGTACAATATAATACTTGCAGTTGTTGTATATAATTTAATAAAGGAATTGAGAATTGACAAGTTTTTAGAGCAAACATGGAGTTCTTTACTTCCTGTTTTGTGAGGAAAAAAATATAAATACATTTAAATTCTGTATAATTGTGTTAATTTCATTTAATAATTACTTCCTTTTATCCAATCGATACATAACAAATTAACATTTTTATTGATTTTATCATAACTTTTCATGTTTCTTCAAATGATGATAGAAATTACTTAGTAGCTACTTTGTCAAAATTGCATTGGAAAAATGTAAATAAATTTTTTTTACAATAAGCAATGATTATTTTTCAGTAGTGGGATTTACCTCAATTTTGGATGCTAGAAATATTTTAAAGTATGGATGACTAGTTACTTGCAGATTACTACTCATAGATAGTAAATTTAAGGTCAATGAAAGCACTTTGAATATTTATTTATTAACAAAACATTTTTCAATATCATTTTTAGGTAAAATTGGAAGTACTTTTGTATTATTTTTTGATAATAACATTATCAATTCATGTAAAAATGATATCAACAAAACTAAAAAGTGTGTTTAAGTAAAAATTTTTTTTAAGCTCATGTTAAGCTCTTATTAGGCAGCAAATTTATTAATAGAATTTCAATAGTTTTTAGACATACCTATAAACAATTTTAACTCAAATATATCGAGGATTTTTCAAAATTCAATAAAATCATGATAAAAGTTATGAATAGGGTAGAGCCAGGAAACTTGCTCTCAGGGGTGATAAATATTTCGACTTCACCTTCCCGAGTAAAAATGAATAGGCCCAAAACACGCCGAAAATGAAAAATAAGCCCAATACAGGACTGATTAAAGCCCAATCTTGACTTAGAGAAATTTTCAGTGCCCAAAACAAGCCCATTACAGGCCTAAATTTTTAAGGAGCCCAATTGAAGCCCAAAAACATTCTCTAGGCCCACAACGCGCCCAAATCAAGCTTAAAACTATTTTGCAGGCCTAAAACATGCCTAATTCAAGCCCATTTTCTATGATCATATTCGATAATGATGACAATAAATTATTACAAATGTAAATTTGTAGCACCGAAAGTTAATTTGATGATAAGTTTTTATGACAATTTTTTTTTCTTTTCTAGATTTTAAAAATATTTTTGGGCTCGAATTGGGTGTGTTTTAGGCCTGCAAAATAGTTTTAGGCTTGATTTGGGCGCGTTGTGGGCCTGGAAAAGAATTGTCGACTTGAATTGGGCGCGTTGTGGGCCTAGAAAATGTTTTTGGGCTTCAATTGGGTCTCTTTTAGGCGCGCCCAAAAACTAATAATTTTTACTCGGGTTTGCAATTACTATTCATTAGTTTAACCCAATAAAATATCATCGATGCAACTTAAATATTGAAAAATAATTTAATGAATACTCAAACTAAATTGACAAGACAAATTCATTAAAATTCTTAGCGATGAATATTTCTTATTAAGAATATATAATTCATGGATCCTCTTGAACTAAATCAGTGAAAATCATTGATAATAAGTTAATATTTTCTGATTCGAATATGAGAGCAAATTTACATGAAATTCTGATTTTAAACATTGAATAAATGATACATACTAACAGTCGTATTATTCATCACAGGAAAGGAATAAATATCCGTTTGTTTAAAAATTATTACACAGCTTGTATGAAAACTATTGTATATTATTTATAATTGGATGTACATTTTTCCAGTATTCAATAAGTTTATAAATAAATCGTACTTATTTTATATACGTGTATATTGAGTTTGATAAATAGTAGTATATTTCAAACTTTATCATTACTAATAACTTATAATTAGCGATATGTGTTATTGTATTATTGTAGATTTTTTATAAATTCTGGCGTTGAAAATTTATTAATAGACTCCACTTTTGTCATGAAGTTTTGAAATTTTAATCATTTCAATTAGCTTCATATTTTACAAGTTTAGTAAATTTTTCCATGTAATTAAATATTATCTATACTATGAAATACATTGGAAATTCCTTGTAAACTCACTATGGTTATTGGATATTGCTAGTATTTATATGAATGAAAATTCATGTAACAATTGATTTCTCTTCTATAATTTGAATAAAAAGTATATTAAGGTCTTTTTATTCTGGAAGCTTTAGGTTGGGTTTGTTTCTAATTTTTCATTGTTCTTTATTAGAGTATTTTCTAGTTCCATGTTTTCATCTTTTAGCAAAAATTGTGATTTACCTGCAAAAGAATTCATGTTTGATAGTAAAAAAAGGCATAATAATGATATGTACTATATCCATATATTAATTAGAAAAAAAAATTAACTTAATTATCAAATTTTTTTGATAACTCACAATGATTTGTATAAGTATAATTAGATTTTGATGATCTTTGTAATGATCCATTTGAATAAGCATTTGATTTAATAGCTTCACCTGTGGACCAAGAATAGTAAAATTCATTTTTTTGAGGCTAATGAAAGTAATTCCTAGTACCTGGGTAGAAAAATATTAGAGATTGGTTTCAGGTACGATGCATTAGTTATGTGTTTATGCTTTATAGAATTATTAACATTAAAATTAAATTATGATTTAGATATTAAATCTATCCTAAAAAAATAACCCATTCCCGATCAAACATAGAATTGTTGAAAGGGATTCAATCTGAAATGGGTTCGTTTTGCGTTCTACTAGAGCAGAGCTTGGCGAGTCTTCACTTGTTAAAAATTAAGAGAGGAAGACATACGGGATTTCACTGTGGACACTGGGTGTCTTTTATTTTTTCTAATGCTGGCATAGGGTACGGTTTTTAAGTCTATGTCCGCTTTAAGAATAAAAGTACTCGTTCCCAACTAGAAAAAAAAAACAACTTTTTATGCCTATATAATGTTTCTTATAAATTAACAATTAGTTTTTCCAAAAGTCATCAAAAAGATATCGATAGGGAGTAATTTTTAGAAAAATAAAATAATGTCTTCAAGAGGTCTAGACAATGTTTTGACTTTCTTTTGGATGTTATTTTCGATGTCATTTGACCAAAATTTTACGCAAAAATCGACGTCTTTTTGAATGTCTATAAGACGACTATAAAAATATCAAATAGCATTTAGACATCTTTTTATCGTAATCCAAAAGTTGTCTTTTAAACGGCTATCTTCTAGTTGGGGTTTCCGAGAGACGGAGGTCGTTATCCGGTTTCTTCACTTTTGCGACTAACTGACGGATCGATCATTTTCAATTTCCACTTCCATTCGTTTTATTTGTACTTGAATTCCGTATCTTTTTAAATGTCATTGTAATGTCTGTTTTCGTATAATAACTATTTTGATTGTTTGAAAAATATGTTGTTTTGTTGATTAACTCCATATTGAAAACCGTAATTTACTAAACAGTTTTCGTCCCCCTCCACGATTATTGAATCCTGAACTCGACGAGTTATGGGTTGTGGAGGGTATTCCTTTAAAATCTGAAGAAATTCAATACTCTGCTTTGATGGCAATAATATTTTGCTAACAACAGCCCACGTTACCCAGTTCTATATTAAAATATCTTAATTCTTTTTATCATTAAACTCATCTACAAAAAAATTTTTATCCTTGATACCCTCATTAATCCATCAAAATTTTGTCTAACGATGACAAGGGCAACTCTCTATACGGTAAAGTCTAGAAGTTAGACTCTAACAGCCAGAGAGTGGAGATTGTATCGTAATTTGAATAAAATTAAGTTAAACAAGAAAATAATTACAAACCTTCCTAATTTATTTTTTGATACTTAAAATAAATTTAAAGTGATTACCATTAAGAACAAGCATTGGCACTGCTGATGTTGGTAAACATGAGCTTCTATGTTGTGTCATTACCGACTCTTTGGTATTTTTTTCTGGTTTCATTAAAACTATGTATATCTTGGGAAAGAACAGGCATCCCAGTTGAACTAGTCCACTTAATGATAATGATAAAGCAAGAGTGACAACTCTAATAGCATTACTTGTAAATGTTAAGTACAGAGGCACAAACGCCAGCCACAAAACCATCGTCGTATAATTTGTAAAAGCTATGTGACGAGTTTCATTAAACCCTTCTGGACACTTTCTTGTTTTTATTGCATAAATCGTGCATATTGCTGAAAATAATTGAAATCATGATTAATTATAAATGCATGTTGATGATATTTACATTTGTTAACAGCAGAAGGGAAGTATTATTATTACTAATTTATTAAATTTTTTATATTTATTCCAAACATACAGATTCATGCATATAAAATGATTATTTATGCATTAAATCTGGATACTAACTATATATTTATACTTGCATTATAGACAGAAAGTTGTAACATACAGCGATGATATCTTTTGCAATGAAAAATTCATGAAAAATTTGTTCCTTCAATAATAAGTAAAATGAATAATGTAAAACCCATGTATCCTAACAAAACCAATCACAATTCTTCAAAAAAAATTGGGTCCCGTTTTTCAAATCATCATTTCGTTTAAGATAAAAAGTACTCTTGTAACACGGTAAACCACTTTGTTCACTTGGAAAGTATATTACCTGACATACAGATTTTTTTTTATTCTTCATCAATTTTAATCAAAATTTTTGTCTATACTGTAAATCTTGATTTTCGAACACTTCTTGTTTTTGCATATTTAAGTGTATTAAAAATGCTGGAGTTGTAAAGTGAGTTGCGATCCTGCTAAGTGACGACGGGTATTGTTTAACAGTAGAATCCCTCTAATGTTTTTAACAAGTTTTTCGTGTATGAAACTTTCCATTATTATTAAACAACTTTAGTACTGATGTTAAGTAGATGTTATCATTTGAAACAGGTTTAATGAACAAAACACATCTGCCTGGATTTGTCACAGTCACGTTTAACCATGGTCAAATCATATGTGTAAAACTTTTTTCTCAAGTCTTTCCAATACTTCGAAAAATATCAGTGCTCTCCAGTGGTCTGGGTGTGATTCCAAAGGTTTACACTACTTACTTCCCAGTAGAAAGAATGATAAAATTTCGTTAGTTTACTATTTCTTTCAGTTTTTTAATTCTGCAAAAAAATGGCTGGACCGATTTTTCTGAAAACTTTATTAGTTCTGAGTTGCGTAATTACGCGTCGAATGCAATTGGTCCCACATCGATAACATTTTTTGTTCTCAAGATAATCGAGGCGAAAAATACGTACATACACACACAGATGTCCACTCAAAACCCGAGTCAAAATTTTTATAATAACTTTATATTGAATATACTGAATTCATATAGAATCAATATTTAGTACTCTAAAACAATACTGATTTTATATTGAATGTATTAATTTTTTAATTTCTATGCTGATTCTATATTGAACATCTTGAAATCATTATTATTTTGTACTGTCCATTCTGCCATCAATATGTTCAGTATAAAATTCAAATAAATTTTAAAAATCAGTACTCTAAATTTTTATTGAATGCTCGGAAATCTTTCTATCATTCTATTGAATCTACTGATACGTTCTCTATTACACTGATTTTGTACTGATTTTTCTGACATCAATATAATCAATATAAAATCAGAACATCTTATTTAAACGAGTATTCTAAATTTCTATTGAACGTTCTGAAATTATTCTTATATGACATTGAACCTACTGAAATATTTTTTATTTTACTGGTTATTATTCTGACATCAATATAATCAGTATAGAATCAGAACATTGTTGGAATGAGTATTCTAAATTTTTATTGAACGTTCGGAAAGTATTCTAGAATATAATTTTATATTATAGTTAAATTGCAAAATATTTATAAATTTTTCGTTGTACTGCTAATTCCAATATGAGTTTATTCGATATAGAATAAGAATGAGAATAAGAAGAAGAATAAAGTTTGTAATGTTACTGATTAAATTTATTTATTGATTTATTTTAAAATTATTTTTCAGGAGTAATAATATAATTGTGGTTACATAAAATAATTATTCAATTTCTTTCGGGTTTACTGGACATATTAAATACTTTTCATCGTTTACATTAATGTAAATACATGGTGAGATTAAGTTATTAATTGCAATTGCCTTAATCAAAGATATCTCTTCACATTTATGAATAAATCCTGAAGTATTATAAGTATAATGATAGCCTTGTGCACTAAACACTCCCACACTTCGCGAATAATTGCCAAATATTCATATTCACATACACAATTATCCCTCTCGCATTGACAATGGAGATATTTAATAAAACAGTTTATAAAACCCATTTTATATATGTTTGAATCTATGTACTTTACAGCACAGCTATTCGTTTCTAACGGTCTCTTGTAGATTTTATTACTAAAATAATTATTGTTCTTATTACACTAAAATCCAAAATAAGATTGGTTACTATAGTAACCAACCTCTTCTATTTAATATTTATTTTATACTGAATCTACGAAATTTAAACTGATTTTTTACTAAATGTATTAAATATGAATCCGGATATTCAGAAGTGTCAGTATATATTCAGTATTTAAAAATTGATTTTGAATACTTAATCTATACTGATACAGCTGAAAACGGAGTTATTCATAAGTCTTCAATAAAAATTCAGTATTACTTTAACTCTAAAACTCCTATCCTTACTTTTATTGAATTTGTACTGATTATACTGAAAATTCAGTATAGTCAGTATAAAGTTATTATAAAAATTTTGACTCGGGAAACCATTGTATTTGACTCTGGGGACCTTGAAACGTCGAGATTTGTCAAATTTTGGGATTCGCAAAATCGGACCCATTACGATAACTTCCCATTGGGAAGTTAAAAACCCTTAAATAGATCATGCTATCAAACAAAAGCTATTTAGCCCAGCCAATATGATTGATAACCATATTTTTGGTGACGACAGACTTCAGTAAACATTTGTAGCCACATGTCTTACAGCACTTTTTTGTTTATAAAAAATTGCTTTTAGTTCATAAAATATTTTGAAAACAACGCATCGGAGATCACGACATGATGCATATAACTTTCACAAATTTTTATCGTTCTCGAGATTGTGTACATGGAAGGTACTACTGTTCTTTAACAATTCATTATAGTTCATTAACAAATAAACTTAGAATTACTTATTTTTTAATTGGAAGCTACATTCATGCCAAATGTATAAAACAACACTATTAATTGAGTGTTATTTCTTTTTAAGATGAAAAAAAAAAATGTATTATAATAAATGCTATTCAATTCATACTTTCTATTTTTCATATTAATGTTCAACACGGAAAAAAGGGCATTGTAACTTCTACCAGTATACCCGATCAAATTTTACAACGTGACGTAACACGGTGTCGCTTCGTTCATAAAATTGTAATAATTACATCTTTAAAATATGCGGTAATTATTACAACGCGAATTGATAAATCTTTCAATATAAATGAGTAAATAGTACATAAAATCATGATAGTTTCGCGATTGTAAAACTGCCCTAACTATCAATTATTACATAGCCACAATGTAATTTTTAAAGAAAACAGTAAAAAACATTACCGACTAATGTTTTATTACTATCAAGTTTAAATGCAATATTTGTAAATATTATGCATAAAATCTATTTATATTTGATAAAAATTTTATATTAATTCAATGAAATTTATTTGGAGTTACGTGTCTAAAATTTTAATTAATAATTATAATTTTCGTCTTTTTATAGAAATAAATATAAAAATTTAAATTGTTATTATATAATTTTATTTATTCAATATTATAATATCAGTGCTCTGCAGTGGTCTGGGTGTGACCCGAAAGGTCCACACGACCACCTTTCCAGTAGAAAAAATGAAAAAATACTCCGAGTAGAACCCGTTTCCATTCTTTGTAACAAATGAAATTGTTATAAAGGAAATGAGTGTGTTTCTATTCATTTGATATGGTTACTTATGTCATTTCAGTAAAAGAAAAAATTATACGTTAGAAGAATTCAAATATACCTCATAGATCCTTTTATTCATTATTTACAACAAATTTCATTGTTATACACGAAAAAAGTATGTTCTTATTCATATCATATGGTTGGAAATATTTTTTTAGTAAAAGAAAAAATTATGCGTTAAAAGTACTCAAATGTATAGCATGGATACCTATTTTTAATGTTTATAACAATTTAAAACTTTTCATTTAAATATTACCATGATCAATAATCATTTGTTAGTAACAATATTCAATTGTTATGGACACAATTCCATATTATTAAACAATTATTATTGATTATTAGCGTCTTGAATGCTGTTTTCTCAATCCTGACACGAGTTTAAAATTCTTTCATTGCTGATTTTGTTTTTTAAAATTGGTTTTTTCGATGAAATATTGTCATCATATTTTCATACAAGTATTCTAATCATTTAATATTCATATTTTTTGATAAATTTTGGAATTTTGTCTAAAAAATGGTATAATTTATAAATTGCAAAATTCAAGTAATTTCCTTTTTTTTCAGTTTTTTGATTCTACCAAAAAAATGGCTCTACCGATTTTCCTGAAAACTTTTTCAGTTCTAAGTTACGTAATTACGCGTCGAATGCAATTGGTCCCACATCGATATCATTTTTTGTTCTCGAGATAATCGAGGCGAAAAATAATTCCGAAAGTACGTACGCACATATGCACATACGCACATATGTACATACATACACACAGACGTCCACTGGAAAACGGTCGTATTGGATTCGCGGGACCTTAAAACGTGGAGATATGTCAAAATTAGCGATTCGCAAAATCGGACCCATTACTATAACTTCCCACTGGGAAGTTAATAAAATTACATTTTATAATTTTAAATTAAAAATCATAGTTTTTTAATAATGTAGTATAAAAAATAGTATTGCAAAACTAAAATCAATTATGTAAATTTATTAACAATAGTCATCAGTAATAATCAAAATTATCTTCTGCAAATAAAATCCTTATTATTTGGTAATCGCGTTATTGACGCAACACTATCTACCTCTGAGAAATTAACTATAGAATATTTTGTTGAATAATTATTTTCAACTACCTCGTAGACTTGATAATGATAACAGCTACTTCTCCGCACGCATATGAATTCCCTTGTATAAAAATTGTATTTTTTCATTGGCATCGTCTAAATCAGGTATCACACCTGAAATAATCACCAATTAATACATAAAAAACATTAATATTTAGCACTGCTTAACTGAGTAAATATTTTATTTACGTGTTTGTTCGACGTTGATCTGCTGAGTAATTAATTTTCGTTTTGCGGCGTGGACGCGTCTTACATATGTATAGTGGTGCCTTAATTTTCCTTGAGGTGGTATTCCATCTTGCAATTTTGTGTTTCGTATCCGAGGAACATAATAAACACCTTCTGCTTCTGTTGGAAATCTCTTGACAATTTCTTGAGCCAATTTCATATAAATATGAGGTTTTATTTCTGGTAGTTCCAGAAGTCCATCAGTTCCACGTTGAAGAATTAGTGCCACTAATTTGTTTTTGGAGTCATCCAACATTTGATAAGCATCATAGAGGACAAGGATATCTTGACCATGAACACTTTTGCTCAACCACTCACGTAGTGGAATTTCAACCGATGGTGATCGAAGATCTCCTTGATAGTTAGGATTATTCTGAAAATAAATTGCATATTTTAAAATACTGTTTTCAATTCCATAGGGGTACAAAAAATGAAATGCTGGAAACAACAGAAGTAAAAATACACACTTTCTGTAAAGATGAAACAGGAACTATGGTTCTTTGAGATGGATCAGGTAAAGATGGAATAGTAACAACACTTTGAGATGGACTGGGTGAAGTAGGATCAAAATTGATAGATTAATAAATAACAACAACCTGTGATATCACAGATTGTAATGTATATGTTTTTAAAAGTACGAGTTATATATTCGTATTAAAGAAATAATGTCTCTTACCTGCAACAATTTTATTAATATATTCACGATAAACTTTGTTTTTTTAATTTATAAGTGTGAGCGGAACGAGTCACGAACTGTATTTGGAATAAACTGTAACGGTTTTCAGATATACTATATTACCTTAAGAAACTGTAATTTTCACATTGCGACATCTGAACGCAATAAACCTTATTAATTGGCATTGTAAAAATTACCAATATTTTTCGCAACTATATCGATTGTGTATCACTCAATTGTAATCTTTACCGCGTCACTCGGCAATAGCGAGCATGCGCCATCGTAAGAACAGTTGTATGTATATATAAGTTGTATTTTTAATACGTAAATTTTCTTCACAAATAATGAAATTATCCGAGTCAATACCGTAAAAATTACAATTTCGTGCTGCAATAACTACACTTTAACAAAATTGTAATTTTTACTTTCTACGATTGTAATCAATGCATTTTTACAATAAAATAGTTGCAATGTACATTGCTATCGGATTTTTACAGTACAAACGTGTACTTTATGTTAGACGAATTGTAAAAGTTCCTGTTTTATTAGAAAACTATAGAACTTATTATTTAAATAGTAAAAATTACAATGAATTTCGTTTGTATTACAATTATTGCTAACAAAATATTTTTTTACTAGCAAAAATTGTAATTGTTACTGTGCCCTTTTTTCCGTGAACGTATTTTCAATTGTTAAACCATATTGACTGCACCTTATGTGTGGATTTGTGTGATAAGTTCAATAATAATACTCAAGATTAAATAATTATAACCAATTTATAACTTTATTATAACAAAGAAATATATATATATATATATATATATATATATAAATAATACTTATGACCTAAGTTTCAAAAAGATTCAAAAGGAATAATTTTCAGTCCAATGCTGTCAGTTTTGTTTACCGTTACCCTGGTTCAGGGGCTAAAACGATATAGCAAATAGTCAAAAATCATTGGGATTTCCGTGTCTAATCAACGTTAACACGTAAAAAAAAATTCAAGTTTAGAGTCCCTTCCAACAGAATTTTGAAGACTTCCACTTTTTGCCAATTTTGAACACATATAGATGACTTTTCAACTAGCCCAGGACGATTTTTAGCAAAAAATATATTCTGTCAAGACCGGCAGTCAATTCCGGACCTTCCAGTTACGCACTGATTACTCTACCAGTTAAGTTATCTCATCTCAATATAATTCGCTTCAAATCGTGCCTGTATTCGTCATATTTGGCTCACCCCTTGCTTTGCGCCGTTCCTTATATGGCTTAAATAAATTTATTCACTATTAAAGTGTAACCCAGCACAAATAATTTATTTTCGAAGGTGTCCCGTAGTCGAGACTATATCCAAAGTATTTTCAAATCATATATAGTTGAATAAACACACATGAATGTGTCCAATGTTAATTACCATAAACGAATAAAAGAACTCTTGTAATTCTTTTATACACACTTCGGGGTGTCTTAAAATTGACAATTTGCTTACAACATTTAAACATTCGTAATATTACAACATATAAGCATTCGTTTTACAACAATTAATAAATTTATACTCTCTGTTCATAATATTTTTATAATTAAAAGACATTTTTTACAACAGTTAAATATTATATTGTTCATACAGCATATAACAATCTTGCTCACAAACTTATAAAATCTATCATAATTTTTTTTTATCAAACTTTTGATTGTTCTTCTACACTAATAATGCAATTTATACATTATTTGAGAATCATAATCATGTATATTTGGTACAGTAGAATGATAAATGAGGTGTTCAGAATTTACGTACATTAATTTCGCTTGATTTGAAGAGAAATTTTTTAAAATACAGTTGTAATGGAAATCATAAACATAATTTTTTAAAGTATCTAATATACAAAACCCTAAGTAAATTGGTTTATTAAACACTACATTCATTTTATCAAGTTCTACTGCAATTAGATTTTCATCATAAATAATACTTGAATTAAAGTTTGGTAATGCAATGATTGAGGATATTCCAAATCCACTTCAAAAATGTATCCAATTAGCGAATCATCTGGAATATTCATGACATTGATGTTTTTTGTTTCTCACTCAAATCAACTGTATGGTAAGTAAGAACACATAGCAGCTTTGTAGAGATTTTTTATTTTATAATGCATCAGGTAGGATTTTTCTTTTTCAGAATTAAAATCAGAGATAGGTTTAATGTGTGCTTCAGTAATTCTACTATGACATTCAGTTATTCCTTCTCGAATACCTTTTTCAATGAATAATAACATTTTAGGATCTTTGAGTAAATCCAGCTTAACACCTGTGCATTTAAGCATAGCATCAAATGCTAACTCAGATGCTGTGTGATAATATAATGGATCAAGATCGTAAGTAAAAAGACACTCTTTTCTAAAGTTCTCAAAAATATTAGCTAGTAGACGTACATCTGCTCTTAAATATAAAAAATGACATTGTTTTAATGTCTTAAATTTCGTATGAGACCATAATTGTTCTACGTATTTATAATTGTCCTCTAGCATATCAGAATTACTTGAATAAGAATAAAACCATTTTTCGTTAGGTAATTGAGTTTCTTTAAATGTGTTTCAACTATCAAAATATTCATATGCAAATACTCCTTTATGTGCCACCAATTTAAGTAACTGCTCACACGAAAAAAAGGTTTTGTTAGACTTTTTAAACTATTATGTAGATATGATGATAATTTACTAAGACTTTTTTCTATGAACAAAAAAGAATCAATGAATCATAATTTTATTAATACATCATTTTCTTTTGAGTTCTAGAAACCTGTATTTATAGAGGATATATTTTTCTCACATTTAACAGTTTTTGTAAATAAAATATATTTTTCTTTATCAATAGGTAAAACACTTATAGGTCCAGGGAATGATGAAGATAATGATTTTATGATTAAATGAGAATTAGTTAGAAGTTTTTCATACATGAGGCAAATGTTTGATGTATAAAAAAAATATATTTCTTTATCATTTAAAGTTCCATTTGGCACAGAATTATTAATTATGTCGGCGAATGTTTCACTCAATTTGTGTAACTCTTTTGATAAGTAATCTATACAATCTTGATCACATTTAAAATATAAATTCGATTTTGAATTATCGTAAGAATAATGAACATAAAAAGCTATGCTACAAGGTATTAATTTAGATTCACCTTCTCCAGTTGGTTTAATAGAACATTTTAAATTGGCATAGACAACAGAAGGTACTTGTTGTTTATTAAGATGGTTAGTAAATTGTATACAATCATTTTTTGAAAATGAAATTCTACATTTATTTATAGCTATACAATCCTCCAAATGATTATCGAACAATCGCTGACTAGAAAAATGATTTAAACAACGATCACATATGACAACTTGATTACAATTACCATATATTCCATTGCTTACTAAGTGAGATAATTAGTTATAGAAGAATAATGATATACAGAAATCGGTGCTCCATTGATCATCTCTATTTCATTTTGTGATGCTAACAGACAAATGCAAGAGCGTTTCATACTTTTTTTATAATTTTGACTTAAGTAGATTGGTACAACAAATTTATTTTCATCGAAACCATAGACATGGTTTTAAATGAGAACTAATACTGTTTTGAAATGCAGTCCCAATATTAATCCTTTTTACATCAACGTTGAATGATGATTCAGCTAGTGTTAAAGAATAATTTGTAACAATATGTTCACTATTCACCACATTATTTTGATTCTCGTTAATCACATAAGAACGTAAAGATTTATCTATTAAATTGCTTATAGTATCCGATTGTAATGTGGAATTTATCAATGGTGCATCAATGTAACTTTCATAATATATATATATAATATAGTATAATAAATCTAATCAGAATGTCATTTGGGGACATTTCTTAAGTACAAGGTATTATTTGAGGATATTTGTATAGTTTGGGGACAGTCCCCAAAAAAAAAAATGTATCCAACGTATTATTTGAGCCACTAGTGAAAATGAGAGCAAAGGTACACTGTAATTGCATACGCTGTACTTGCAGGGTTATTATTTTTTTTTTAACCGTGCGGCCGACCGTAATTTTGAAAGTCGAGAGGGGGATACCAGTCCAGTTTTCGCAAAAAAAAAATTATTAAAGTTTGGTGGATTAATTAGTGTTTCAATAAAAATTATCGCCATTATGTATCGTCACGCCACCTATAACTGTGAAAATTATTCTTCCGAAATTTAAATACGTAATGAATTTTAAAATTAGACCTTTTCAAATTATATGAATAATAAAAATTTTATTGTTTAAAAATGTACTTAGGTAATGTGCAGTGCATCTTACTGTTGAAATCATTTTTATAATGTTGTTTTTTTTATTATATTAATTCATAAGTTCAGTAAAAAAAATTTCACAGATAAGTGGGCAAGAATTACTTAATCCAAAAACCTCAATAAGTTAGTTGAAAGAAAATAATCCTAACTACTATCAATTAAGACATTTTCCAATAGTATAGAGGCCGAGTCATACCTGAAATTGAAACAATCTACTTTGATTAAAAGATTACATAAAAAAATAATTTAATTCTTGATTTCTCAATACTGATATCGAGACTTTCAGATTTCTCTTCTTCAAAAGAATGAATTATTTTTTTATTATTATTATTTGAATTTTTTACTATCATTAAATAATTTACAATATTATTTAATAAAATTGAATAAGAGATTAAAAAAGAAAAAAAATTATTAAACTAAATTGAAAACATGTGACGTACCAGCATTGAATCGTAAACAGTTTAGGTGACGAACATCTGTTGCGGATTCAGACTTTGTAATAAAAGATAACTTTCATTTCTAATATTTCTTTAAGAAAATCAGGAACAGAAAATTCGCATTTTAATAAAAAAATTGTTTCGTGGATTCACAATTGAAATAAAACGATTCTTTCTTGACTTTCATTTTTATTTATAATTTAATAAATAAACGCATTTTATTGTTTGCGATTACTTCATTTGTTTAAAGTACAATAGAATGATTTCATGAATTCAAAAAGACTAAATACGTCTCTATAAAAGAACTACACTCTAGGTAAAATATCACAATGCTTTTGATATATGTCACATATGCGATTTCCCTTTCACAATGTGTCCCATTTTTATAGCTGAACTTTCTTTAAGTAGTAAAAAATTGTTCTCTTTCCACCACGTAGTCTTTTAAAACGATCTATAGGATTCATGAAGCAATAAAAAATAAGGAAAATATCATGCAGTAAATCTTTAATTGATTAACTTCACGAATCAAATTTATGATTCAATTGAATCGAAACATTATTATAATTATAATGATATTAATTATTATTAAAAGATGAAGCGTGAAAGTTTTACATAAATTGCAAAATGCAGCTAATTAACCTTTTTTAGTTTATTGATTCTTCACAAAACAATGGCTAGACTGATTTTGCCAAAAACCTAATCAGTTTTAAGTTGAGTAATTGCGAATGCAATTGGTCGGAGATGATCGAGACGAAAAATAATCCCGAACGTACATACGTACGTGTACACATATATATCCACTTAAAAACTGTTGTATTCGACTCTTATATATCTCCACATTTCAAAGTCCCCAGAATCAAATATGTCAAAATTCGGGACTTGCAAAACCAGACCCTTTATAATAACACCCCACTGTGAAGTTACAAATTTCTATTTGTAGACTTGATACAAATTTTAATACACTTAGAAATTGTACAAAACAACTACAAGACTTCTATAGTTTGTTTATGGTACTTAACATTAAACACGTTTATGTGTATTCATTTTCAACACACTTTAATTTACAATTACATAAATTTTCCAATTTCATAACATTTGCGGAAAGGCAATGTTTATCGCTATTATTTCTTTAAAGTATCATCAATAAATCTAGACAATCACGATTTAAAAAAATTTGCTCTCTAAATGAGTTTAATTTTCAAGATAAGAAAAAAAATGAGATTAAAAGCGGTTTCATTCTATATAAGCACTGAAAACAAAACAAGAATGATGGTGATAAATAATAGAACTTAATCAAATATAATAATAAAAGGTGTTCAACATTCAGACTTGACTGAATGTAGAATATTTGATAAATTTTTATTTGACATGATGCTTATTCAATTTCATGAAAAATGTATTCAGAAATTGTTGCCACTGATGATGATTTTATCTAATTTACTATTGAAATGTTAAATTATTTTAAATGACGTATTGTGTCAAATACAAAATCGATATGATGAAGCTCTGTTAAATTCTCTAATATAAATTTTTAAAACTAATATTCAGGAGATGCAAGTATAAATATTTCAGGTCACACTTCTTTACAGCTTTTTATAAATAATAATAATTTCTTTCAGAAATATTGAACTGTTGTTAATCATGTTTAATTGCTAATAATTTTTTTCAATCATAGATAAATTAACGATTCTTTATCATTTCGAATTGAATTGAATTTTTTTAACAGTATTTAACTGTGTATAGTACGATAGATATTTATTTCTGTGTATTGTCCATTTAAAGTCATAAAAAATAGTTCACGTTGCATGCAGGATAAAGTAGTATTTTAATTCAAACTTGAAACCCACATTTAATGAATAGATGATTAATTTCCATGTAAATATTAGTGATGTGTAATGAATGCAAAGCTTTTCAATGACGTATTGATTGAAAATATATTTATACAACTTACCTATTAGAATGAATGGATAAATTAATCCTATCATGTAGGATCTATCATCTAAACCGTGGCAAATTTTCAATCGTAAATCTCTTGAAGGGTACAGATGAGCAATAGAAGCTGGTACTTTTAGTAACCAAATACCATTGATTAAAACTTCTACCAAAGTAAGAATTCCAATTATGATTATCTGAGATTGAGGGCTCGTATATTTTGGTTTATGAGGACTGTAGCACTTGGTGTTAAATATTCTATGAATTCTGTTAGTTTTAGTAACTAAGGCAGAATAGCATAAAGTATAACACAGTCCTATGCCAAAACGAGTTATTGCACATGTCTTAATGGTTGGCTCTGCTACGATAGCAAATGTCATTAAAAACGATACTAAAGTTCCGAGGAGTAAAATGGATGATAATTCTCGGCCAGACGCTTTGATCACTGGAGTGTCACCATAAATCCAGAAGACAGAGAGCACGAAAATAGTTGCTAGGATTCCTATTGAACAAGAGATTACTTTAGAATTCGATGAAGTGAAAAATATTCAGTGTTGATTAATTGGATGAGAAAAAATTAAATTTCGTAATTGTAAAAAATGGTTTTAGAGGTATTCACTCAATCAATGGTAAATGAGTCTACTTTTAATTAATGAATTATCAAATTTTCATCTGTGGTTTTAATTCAAATTAATATACATCAATAAATAATTGTAATAGTCTGTTTAGAAAAAAGCAAACATTGCAACGAAAGAAAGTTGAAGTCAAAAGATGGACAAGAACCATCATGCAAAAAAAACTAATTTTTGCTAAAAGAATTGAATATTTTTTAAGCTTATTAGCTCTTACTTCAGTGAATATAAGATATTCTTTTTTATTTTCGTTTCAATATGTTGCAATCAGTTTGATAATTTGTACATTTTTTAGGTTCTGTCCAACTATTGGTTTAACCACCCTATTTCAATTATGTTGTAATTCGCCAAAAATAAGACCTTTTTTTGCCCTTTTATAAACTGTTCTTGACGAGTGTTATCATCTGGTCATTTCTCCGCCTCGACCAGCAATGATTGCCATATAGAATGATGATCCAGTTGTAGGGGTGACTAAACGATAACACTATGAAACTTTCTGGATGCAAGATAGCTTTATCAATATTTACAGATAAATGCATAGTAGATACTTTCAAGGCACTTAAATTAAATTGGAAATGTTTTTTATCAAATGAAAGTAATTAAAAATAATAAAGTTACGTAAGTGACTTGAATAACAAATAAATTTATAAAACCTCTTTTAAGTGTCCATAAAATCCATCCCAAGACTCTCCAAGTACTTCGATTAAAATCATAAGGAGATTAGTAAGACGGATTCTGGATATTTGCTGGGGTCTTCCATGTGTTAGATACTCGTTGAGGGTATTCCAGTGCTAAATATAGAAACGGAGGAGTGTGATAGGACGCGCTAGTTGGATTGCACGAAAGTTTAAAAAGAGACAAGCTAGATGGATTGGTGGAGCCGCATATGAATTTTTTCTTCTTCCGTGAGTGTGAATAAGATCTGTTGAATATAATATGATTCTGCATCTTGTTTGTATTTGATACTTGTCTTAAATAGATCTCGTAGACTCAATCTCCAATAAATTTCTATGTCGTTTCAAATACACTTTGAAACCCGTTAAAAGTGACTACGACATTTTTCCACACCTTAGGGATGTTAAAAAACACTCTTAAATTTACAGTGCCCTCGTAGTCAGTCCTAACATCAAACTTACGACCGTCTGCTTCTTTTCTGAATCACATTGTCATTCATTTCTACATAAGTTTGTAGTCAGTCTGATGTTGATTTAGCTATTAACAATCAACAAAAAATACCATCAAAAAATTCGAGCCGGAATAGATGATTACCTTTGATCTACAAGAGATAGAATATGGTACAGATAGAGTAAAGTTATTTGAACCACTAAAAGAATGTCCATTTTATCAATATCATAATTAAGTCATTAACGCTACTGCTGATTTTTTGATTATCACACTTGTCACATCTATTTTCAATGCTTGAGTGATCCTTGCGAGTACCCAACACATGGAGGACTTCCGGCAAATACCCAGAAATTGCCTCACTTATCTACTGTCATAGATGTATCAATGTAATTCTTTTTCTAATGAAATAACATGTAATAGTTAGTGCTTTTCACTATATTAACAAACACTAACTGGTAAATAGGTTTATTAATTAATCAATAGAGGAAGGAGGAATAAAATATTTTATCCGTATTCTTTATAGAATACGATGAAAATACGTCCATCAAAAAATTAATCAATGTATTAATGAATGTTAAAATTTTTGATGCATCATCGGATTGAAGAATTAAGAAGCATAAAACGCAATATGTAATTTTGAGTTAATCTCAATAAATTTGTAAATTTTCTCAAACGTTCCACTTTACTCTCCCTTCCCCTAATTTATTTTACTAATAAACATATTTATTTAAAATTAGAAAAAGTTTGATAAAATCTCTAATTTGAATGTGATAGAGTTTGTTGTGAAAATGAACATAAACTAATGCAAACTAATTCAAACAATTTGACTTTAGAATTGTATCCAATAATTACACCGTTGATTAAAAATATTGATTTGTGAAAATGAGAACTATTTTCTGTAATTAATATGCTGCTTGGTTTATTACTTATTCGTATATAACTTACCACAGCTCGCTACTGCCATTGCGCCAATAGCCCACGGGCTTGTGTAGTCAATAAACTCTTCTTCAATGTGGATGCAGTACTTTCCATCAGACGATGGTTTTGTGCCACTTTCGCAATCTTCACATCTGTGTTCATTTACTTTATACTGATACAATCCACAATTTCGACATCTCCAACAACAAGCATCTTGCTTTTCTTCAATTTTAATTTGATTTGGCTGACAGAGTTGAGCACAAGTTGAGTTGGGGAAAAATTTCGGGTTTGATTTATTTTCACTACGATATTTCATTCTTGCCCGATCTATGTACAAGACAGGATTCTTTTGATTATTTTCTAAAATAGAGAAATCAATCAGAAAAAAATGAAATTGATTGATTGACATATATAGTTGAAATAAAGCTAAATAAATTGACCCAAATGTAATTTCGATATCTCTAAAAATATTTTCAAGACATTAAATAATATTGATTAAATAAGATGTTTTCAGTCTAGATTCAATTAAATATATTGGATTTAAACATCGTAGTGCTAAAGAAAAACAGAAAATATTTTCACTGAGATAAAATTATTAATTATTCATTGAAACTGTTTCAATGAAAATTTAATTTCGTAATTCGTATTACTAAATTAAATGTAGTTAGATGTTAATTGTTAATAAATAAATGTATTTACGTGTGTAGTTTCCCACTACGTGCCACTGATACGATCCATTTTCATCTCGTTGAAAGTTCAAAATTGAATAACGCGGAGGACCATCAACATTGTTAACAAATCTAAATAGATTACCTGCTTCATCTGTAAGTTCAACAATGTATTTAGTATTTTCGAGTATCTAATACTTTTCATAGTATGTTCAAAATCTTCTCTCAATGTACTCTAGTTTTATCAGTAACACTTACCTTTGAACGTGACAGTATTCAAATACTTTAAGAGTATCTCACCATCGATATGCCTCATTCTCTTACAAATGCCAACGAAATTCTTCCCGCATACTTCAACCTGTAGATTGTGAAGAGTATTTGCAACCGCATAAACCGCATCTCGTACAAAATGGAGAAATTTTTGTTGTTTGTATCCCATTCGGAAATTAATTTTCATCGAAGGATCTTCACAAGTTTCCTCCTAATAAACACATAAAAAAAATCTGTCATAAGGAATGCATTTTTCAGGTAAAATATGATTATATTCACCCAGGATAAAAACAGGAACACTTATTTTTTCACATGCTTATCTTGTTTTATATATTCGATAACACAAAATATTAATGTTTATTAAAATTGAAGAAAAAACTGCAAGAGAAAATACTGCACTTGAATCGTAAAGATGTTTCAGAATTGCATTTCAATGAACTTTATTATTCTGATCATAAAAGTTGATAATTGAACATTTATTTTTACTGATCTGAAAAATACAATTTATGAAAATGAAAGAACGAAACAACTTTACAGTTCTAACGTAGTAGTTCAAAATTTTTTTCTTTTCAGATAGATAGTTATTGTTATAATGTAAAATGGATTTTTCAGTGATACTTAAAATAATATAGTAGCATAAGTTGGATGAAAAATTTTTTATGCTTCGCAATATAATTTAAAATAATTTTAACAATATACAATTTTTACAGTATTTTTTCTGTATACTTGAAAAAGTACTTCTAAGACATATCAATTTTTAAATTTTTGAATCATGGCTCCAAAAACTACACTTCAATTGATTGTCATGAATGTGTATTGTGATACAATTGATATGTATTAATACATTTTGGAGATATCATTAATGTTATACAATCTTAAGAAATTTTATGAGTCTATTGAACTGTTGATAGTTTAGTTGTATTACTTTTTATCCATTAATTTAAATAAAATCAGACGTAGAATCAGAACAATTAACATTACTTTAACATATGATAATTTTCAGAGCAAAAAATCGTCAGAGATACCATTCTTATTAACTTCCCATTAGAAAGTATTGTAAATGGGTCTATTGGTGAAATTTGAATTTTCATCATATCTCTACGTTTCAAGATATTTGGTAGCATACTGACTGATTACGTACACACGGAGAAATGTATATTAAAAATTACTATGAATTTTATGGTAATTTGGTGACACTGCAGTGTGAGGGTAAAAATTACTATACAAATTGTAAAAATTACTAAACTGCAGAGTAATTTTTACTCTCATACTGCAGTGATACTAAATCACCATAAAATTTATAGTAATTTTCACTATACATTTCTCTGCATGTACATATGTCTGTATGGAGATTAGAATTTTTTTCGTTTTTGATATTTCAAGAACGGATTGAGATATCGACTTCAACCAGAATTAATTCGAAAGATATTATTATAAAGAAGATCTGAATGAAATTTGAACAAATTCAGTTCAGCCGTTTTTTTTATAATAATATAACTAATAATAATAAATGGAATGATTCACTATTTAAAATACTTTCAAACGAAAGAATAACAACGTAATTTAAATATCAGTGCTCTGCAGTGGTCTGGGTGCGACCCGAAAGGTCCACACGACCAACTTCCCAGTGGAAAAAATAAAAAAACAATTTGAATAGAACCCGTTTCCATTTTTTATAACAAATGGAATTGTTATAAACGAAATGAGTGTGTTTTTATTCATTTGATATGGTTAGTTACTTTATTTCAGTAAAAGAAAAAATTGTGCGTTAGAAGAATTCGAATATACCTCATAGATCGTTTTTTTCATTATTTTCAACGAATTTCATTGTTATACACGAAAAAAGTATGTTTTCATTTATGGCATACGATTAGTAACTTTTTTTTAGCAAAAGAAAAAATTACGCGTTAAAAGAATTCAAATATGTTGCATAGATCTCTATTTTCATTGTTTATAACAGATTTAATTGTTATAAACAAAAAGAATGAGTTTCCATTCATGTCGTACGGTTGGTAACTTTTTTTTAGCAAAAGAAAAAATTACGCGTTAGAAGAATTCGTATTCAACTCTGGGGACCTTAAAACGTGGAGATATGTCAAAATTAGCGATTCGCCAAATCGGACCCATTACTATAACTTCCCACTGGGAAGTTGAAAATCAAGTCGACATTGACAAATCATTCTTGTTCACAACCAAATATGATTTTCAACAATTATGAATTGTTTATAACAATTATGAAATCCGTCGTGTTAGCACAGACAAAGTGTGCTCCGACCTATTTTTTTTATTTTCAACAGTAATAAATCTAATAATAAGCCATACACATCATGAATTTGTATTGATCGGTACAAATTTATAAAATAGTAGCTTATACACGGAGTAAAATGCAAAATAAAAATTATAGTCAAGCACTATAAACTAGACGCGTTTTGTCAGTTTGATGATTTTTATAAAGATTTAAATGAAAAATTATAAGTTTCACTAGAAAAATTGTAGACTAGCTAATAATTTTCATTGTTCAGCACGGTAATTTTTTGGACAACGAATAATTGAGAGAATTTTAAAGCAAAATTTTTCTATTGCAGAACGTGAAATTTTATTTTCTCTCTCACTCCAAGCACACAGGCGATTGAAGGTCTATATTTTACAATTAAAATTAAATTATTAATAATCGGCAGAAAGTTCCGTGAGTCGAGACTTTTTTCTCGAAATTGATTGGCGAATCTAATTCAATTGTTTAATTTACAATATCTATAGAATTGATAGATATATTACAGAAAACTTGAAAAAATTTTTAAAAATCATCATACAATTTTGTGATGACAATAGTTCAACGCATGCTTGTCCACGTTTGTACACGTGCGTCGTAAAAGCGGTCATACTTTACCATTATTATTTTAGTATGATAATTTGAATAAATATTACTATTGTTATTATAAAATAAAAGCTGAAATATAAAAGAAAATTTGTAAATAATGTTAATAAAATTTATTGTTTGCAAAATAATTTTTATATTCAAATTAAATAAAAATTAGAGGTCAGGTTAGTAAAATTTACCGTGCCAGCACAATAATTTTTCTATTGCTGACCAATAGATTATATAAGAGTGACATCTTGCGTCCAGTTTACCGTGCCGCACGGTAATTTTTTTTTGGAGTTTCTAATATTTTCTATTGGAATTTTTTCTCCGTGTACTCACGACTTCATCCGCGTAGTTACTAATCAACTGGTATAAACAGTAGAATATTATTTATTCAGAATAATTGAATTTGTTAATATTTAAAAGTAGGTTTGAACTAATTGACTGATTTATAACGAAAAATATTCGATTCCGATTAGTGGATTTCATTTTTTATTATTTATAATTGAGACACAGTAAAAAATTTTGTGTTCTGTGTAAAAAAAAAGTTGTAGTTAAAATTTTTGTGTTAAATGAATGTATTGACACAAATTTTGATTCAACACAATAAAAATGTCAACAAGTTATGAACAACACAATAGTAACGCAATCTTCGTCTAACGAAAAATAAATGAAAGAAGTACATTTTTTTGTGTATTTTCAACACAAAAATTGTGTTATACATTAAAATTAATTTCCAATGTGTATCGAATATATTATTAATACGAATAATTATAACAATAGTAAATAAATAAAAAAACACCAACATAAAAGAAGTGTATTTTAATATAACTATTATATAGTGTACATATTCAGAACAATGATATGTAAAATTAATTGATTTGGTATGTTAAATTATGCTACACTGAGGAAAATAATCAGGGCTTTACTACTTGGCTAATTAAGTAAAATTATTAAAGAAAATGCTACTAGAATTACAATAAAATTTTATTTGCGGTGTGAAACAGTTTCTCATATCATCTCATAAACAGTATTAGAATAACCTAGCTGCGATAAATTTATATACATGAAAATTTTAATCATTTTTAGTATACTGACATGTCGGTTTCGTTGCGTGCGTAAGTTTTAAGTGGTCGTAGGTTTGAATCTTCTCAATAGAATCTTCTTCATTTGTGTAGGTCACAATCAGCGCTCCCCGCAATCTTTAAACGGTGTATACGTGAAATTGGTGTTCAATATACATGAAATCCAACAAAATTATTTTTTATTTATTCAAATTACTTTTAATAATTAACACATTCATTGAGTAAACTTCTACATTCTAAATCAGTTGATTTTACACATCATTGTGTAAAATTATAACCAATTTTTTGTGTCGAATTAACACAAAATTTATGTTAAATTAGTCCTTTTGTGTGTCAAATCATTGACTCAAATCTTATGTAAAAACTTAACACATATACTTTGTGTTACAACGACACAAAAAATTGAGTGGACCGTTTTGGACATGAAAAATGTGTTAATTTTAACACAAATTTTTTGTCTGTGTACAATTATTACAAACGCATTACGTGTTCTACAGTCCAATTTTGACTACAGTCGAACTCCTATAATTTTTAGCCCCGTAATTTTTACTTTATGTATTGTGACGATACTTTTTCACTGGGGTAGGTGTACTCAGTATTCACCTTCCTCCAGGACACTAATTCATCAGCTAACATCCCTGGTTCGCTTATAAACATTATAAACGACGGGCGCCAAGTTATTTTTGTCGCCAGAATAACTAAACTGGCAAAACTTACATCTAGATCCAAAGAAAAAAACTTAAACCTAGACCAAAACTTACAACTAATCTTAAATCAAAATCCAACCAAACTCTCACAATTCTCAAAAATCTTAAAACTAATTACGAAATCTTAAACTAAACTTAATTAAGATGCTGCTGGTAAAGAGGTCCTGACAGGGGATCTCCTGGAGCTCAGTTATGTGGGTTGTGGAGAGAGGGTCAGGGCCGGCAATAATTCTCGGTTGAACCCCACCCCGAGTAGAATTTATTTTAGGCATGCCTAAATACCTATTGGGCCCTTATTGGGAATTGAATGGGTTAGCGTAAATTAGGCATTCCCAACCTATGCCTGATCAATTTGTTTTTAGGATGAAGTAAAATTTGCCCAATTTCGCACTACCCAATAACTTCCCAATTACAACCTTATAAACTTAACTGAAACGATGTCTTAGTTCGTCATTTATTAGGAAATGTTTATCAGGTCCGCATTAGGCTAACAAAAATTACATCTAAATTAGGCACACATTACATTATCCTCATTAAAATGTTTAAAGAACAAATAAAAACTTTGTGAGGATGAATTTAAAATGAATTTGTAATAATATAAAAATTTTTTATTAAATTAAGTATTTTCTTTAGATTCCCATAACAAAGTATTGTAGTAATAAATATATTTTCAGATATTGTTTTTTCTTTAAACAATAGTTAATTGTTTTTATTAAACCTTAACTGAATTATGTTGACTGGAAATATATTGTAGTTTCAGAAAAAATAAATAATTTAAACGCATGAAAATATTTAAACCATTAACATTATTTATTATGGAGATTTAAAATAAATAATGATTTACATAAATCTTTTAAAAGATTATACATGCGGATTCGTTCATATTAATATAATAGTAATAATTTTTTAATTAAATGAATAGCCGAGCGGGTAAAGGCACTGGTCTCAGATGCGAGCAAGCTAGCGATCGTAGGTTCGAATCCCCCAAGGAACAAATTTCAGCATCTGTATTTTCGCGGAAATTTAATTATAATACGTTTAATAATTAGTATTTTAACAATATAAAATCATAAAAAATGAGATAATCAAACAAAACTTAGTTTTTATATTTAACTTGCCTTAATTAGGCTTTCCTCACTTGGTCCTAATAGGGACAAGCGTTACATTCCCAATGTGGGCCTAATGTGGTATCCCATTTGGCGCCTAACTTGAATTTAGGAAATTTAAATTGGATGCGAACTCTTTCCCAAAAATAAATTCTACTCGGGACACAAGTATTCAAAATTGTTAAATAAACAAACTGGAGTTGAAGGTTCTTTTTTACCAATTACTCAAATACCAATTATCCATTAATGCTTAATTTATTAAAACAAAATCAATTTTTTTATTCATTATTCCATTAACAAAAATCATAAATCATTCTGTAACGATTCTGCATCATCAATAAAGAAAAATAGTTTACAAACAAATAACTGTGACTCGAATTCTGGAACAAGTTTCAAATGATCACCTATCGTTTCTGACGTTTAAACATTAATTAACCGTAATCTAACGACTCTAGTCTCAAATGCATTAATTTTTATCTTATAAATGACTCTAAAACCCGAAGCAAAATCATCAATATCTCTCATAATTTAAACAATAACACTCTAAACTGAATTTATTAACTGACTAAATCACGAAAGCAAGCCAAGGGTGGAAGATTCCCTACATTTCATTATTCTACTTCTAAACTGTAACAAAACTACCAAAAATTACCAAATATCAGACTCAATACGACTTACAGGAGCTGCAGAGGATACTTAGGTGTCGTAAACTGGTCTCGACACGTTCCTGGATATTCTGGAACCTCCTCTATGCATCAGGGACCTCCCTGTAGTCTGCCATAACTCTACTTGATTGTTTCTTCCTCCTGGGCCTGTTCTCGTCTTCAACCTCCAATAACCCTCGCCATCTTCAATCTTCGAACTCCAATTTCTAACTGCTTCCTTCGATTACCAGAATCGAACTGCTCTCGTCAATCTCCAAAAACGAACTCTCTTCTCTTCAAGCTCTAAACTACTTCTCTCTTATCAAACTCCAAAATTGTACTCTCTGCATTCTTTATCCCCACTCCAATCGCATAAGTACTTTGTGATTTGCGGAATTGTGTCCCCATTAGTAGTTTCCATCACGTGATCTCTCCTAGATTTTATTGTGGAAGGGCGTCTTAACCTAGGTGCTTCCTTGGAGGTAAAGATGATCAGGCTTCCCCCACAAGGCCTGCAAGCTTATAACTAATTCTTCAACTTAAATCTAATTGCTCCACAACATCTCCAAAATGCACCTTCCACACCTCCATCTCTTCCATTGGAGTGCCATATTACTGGGCCTGATCCAGTGATGATCACTCACAGGGCTAGAACGTCTTCTAGCATGGACCAACTAACGGGTGGCACGTTTCGTTTGGCCCTCTACTCCACGTTAGCGATCCACTTCTCCACTTAATGGTTTCACAGCTCCTCAAATATTTCTTACTTCTCCTCTACTAGCTCCTCCTTATCCTATTGAGTCTTTTTCTACTACCAAAATTAAATACATAATCTTCCAACCTTGCTACCTCTCTTTACATTAAAATTTCAAAACAAGTAATAACATAAATAACTACAATTCATTTGATTAAAATAGTTCATAAACCAAACGTGAACCATCACTGTAACCATCGGTTAAATAGCCCCTGAGGACTCAAAATAATAAAATATAACGTGAACAATAGCTAGAGCAACCCACATGGGCTACGATTAGCTTCCAATATTCATTAAATTATTCTTTAAGGTGTCAATGGGACGTTATCCCAAAAATAACGTCACAGTATATTAAGTGTCAATATGCTATAGTATAGTCTATATGTTAACACAGGATCCCGTAATTTTTATTCTTAGAAAAATTGGCCCGAGGCGTAAACATTATAGGAGTTTGACTGTATATACAAAAATATTGTTGCTAACTGTACGATATGTGTTGGAAAATAGATTGCTAAAAAATATTTTAAATGTTGATGTTTCAATTGATGAATGTCTTTATTTCAATTAGGACTGTAGGAAGGTAATCATCCAAGAGTTTTCTTATGATGTTATTGGGATATTGGGATTTTCCCTAGGATTTTTATTATCCTTTACTTGGGTTTTTTTCTTAACTACCAACATCCTTAGACCACTCATCATACTTTTAATAGAATAATTTTTGATGATATTTGACAAATATTTCAACAATATGTTATAACAAAAATCTGAATTTTATCGTTAGACCTTACTTTCAAATGTTTATAACAAATTAAATTGTTCTGATCAAAAAGAGTTTGTTTCCATTCATATTACATCGTTAGTAACTTCTTCAAAATGAATAACCAATAAATCATCCACAAGGTTTAAAAAATTTCCTGAATTTTAAAAAGTTTTGATAATGTTCTGGAATTTCAAAAAGTTTTTTTACATTATCTGAGGAATTTGAGAAAGTTGTAATATTTTCGTGAATTTTCTGGAAACGTCTAAAATTTTTTATAAGGTTCTGGAATAAAAATATTTTTCGGATTTTCTTGAAACCTCGAAACTGCTGTGGAATTTTTACGAATTTTATTGTCTTTCTTAGAAAGTTTAGACAACTTACGGGATGTTTGAAAGCCTCATCAAATTTTTAGATTTTTCTAGAATGATACTCTTGTATGGTTAATTACATACATTTTTTTTTATCTGTCAAGTTTTTTATAATGATTTTAAGAATAATCATTGTTATAAGTAATTAATGATAGAAAAGTAGCCTATTTTACTCCTAAAATTTTTCTCTTCATGTCTGTGAAGTTTCATCGGAATCGGTTCAGCTGTTTCTAGTTTAACCCCCGACAAACAGACGGACAGAGAAATATTCTAAAGCTGTCATTTACGTTTTAAGAGTGGGTGAATAATTCTCTGAGCTTAGTTTGAGGCAGTTTTTTCAAAATCGCAGACAGTTATTCTAATTTTATTTTCATAGATTAAACTGAATCGGTTCAGCAACTTTTTCTCTCATTTTCATGAAAACTAGAAATGTTTTCTCTTTCAATTTTGTCAAATATCACTGTCAGGTTCTTTATTGTGCATATAGCTATTCGTAAATGCAGTCAAAAAAATTTTATTCTCTGAAGAGAATTTTGGAAACCAAGTTTCTATATCAACTTAGTCAGTTATTCTGCTGACATAGATTGAATAAACAAAATCTCATTTTCTCCTTATTGTCATTTTTTTGTTTAAAAAAAAGTGATTATATCCATCCATACGAAAATATTTGATGCCATACTACTATTAATTCAAGAACTTTTATTTAAAAAAATTATTTATCATAATTATGTAGAAACCGTAAGTGGTCTTCAGAAATCACGCTCGAGTATCGATGAAGAAAACTAATCTTTTCCAGTTAATATTAAACTACGCTGAACTCAATAAATATTACTGCTAATCCAAATATTTGAAAACTAAACACATTAAGTGTTTTATTACTAAATCCTTAAATTTTCTCGAATTTGCAGTGTTTTAAATAACGACAATTTTCCTGAATGATCTTTTATCTCAATTTTTTTTAAGTAATGGAGTTAAGCTACATATAGCTAAGACTCTTGAATGAGTTTTATCAAAGTGAATAACTACAGTACAGTAGTATAAGCCCATCCGATAAAACTCGTTTTTTTATTAAGCTGAAACGAAGATAAGTATGTCTGAATATCTATGTTGGTAGACTTTTAATATATTGTAGTTGAAAGTTTTTTATGGTTACAAATGCTGAGCTCTTCAACATGTGTCATTTTAACAAATTTGCAGACATGTATGATCTTATGTGTTTATCACTTTTTACAAAAAAATGGATCTGTTACAGGTATTTGAATATAAATAGTATACATACTACATACACAATACAAACTTGTAAACCATCTGAAGAGATAAATGTTTATTTTATGTGACAACCTAAAGTCCATTGTAACTATTTTATCTTAAACACGTGAGGAATTCTAAGTGTTCTTAACAGTAAGTCAACAAGTTAGTATGGAATACTATTACAAGTATTAATCTACTCCTTTAAACTCTCGTAAATATCACGTATTTAATTTCCTTAGTATGACATGAGTTAATATCACATAACACTAGACAAGTTGGGTACTCTTTGAAAAGGAAATTATACCACATGTTCAAGTTCTTTACTAGAGTAGCTTTATTATGACAATTCATAATTAAAAAATGTGGAAACTGTTTTGCGAAGACAATAAAGTTGACTACATTTTATCCGTTTGGCTAATTAACTCGTCGGTTATTAAATGAATGAATGCATGTATGTCAGGTCTGTTTTTATTTTCAATATCTCAATCATTACTGAAGATATCAACTCTGCACAAATTTTATTTGAAAGATAATATTTCCAATTAACTTAAACTAGTTTATTTGTTTGTTTATTTTTTAATTTAAAAAGTAATACATGTACCTTTTGATTTTTATCACATTTATGATATTCCTGCCATAATTCCTGGAACCACGGATTTATTTCTGAATGCTTGTACGTTAGATTAGTGAAGTAATCATCGAAACCTGTCAAATGTCTTGAAAGAGGTTGAACTGCAAGTGCACCTTCGAGAACAATCATCGTATCTGGATCTTTGTAATGGTTACCAGGATTAAAAAATTCATGGTGATTAGTACTCGACCAAGCGTCACTCCCTATCCAGACAAATCTTGTTTCAACTCCAAGACGTTTTGCTGCTTCAAGAACTTGAAGTGTCGCAAGTTTCTCAGCAAAGAGTACAACCACTGCATAACAGATAAAATTATATTACTTTAATTTATATTAAATTGATTAACGTTTTTTTTTTACTCTTTTACATATTTATATCATCAGGGGATCATCATTAAATGGATGAAATGAAAAACAAAAACTAATCCATTGACTTAACTGAGTTGCTATTTATATACAGCGTATCTTTGAACTTTTAATATTCTTAAAATTTATCTTATAATCTATATTTCTGATGTTTTAAATAAAAATTTATTTACCATATTTATATTTGATGCAAATTTTTCTATTATCAATAAAATTAAATATTCCAAAATATTGTAGTATTATGGAGTTACTTTTATCAATCGTGTAATCTCAAAGAAAAAGTATGAATATACAGAATGTCTGGAGGTCCTATTACAAGCAGAAACTCGACTGTTCCTGAGATAAAAGGAAATCAGTTCCCCGAAGGAAAATGAATTTTTTCTATAGTGTTTAAATATTTAAAGATAATTCATTGGCCAAACAGAAAAGGGTAAACCAGGGTAGAAACCAGAGAGACGGGTTATCGACACAGGATAAGTAACTGAAAAAAGAAAAATCCGTAAGAGGGAAATACAAAGAAAAAGAGATTATATTTTTAAACTCCAGTGGCATAGAAATAATAATCAAAAGTATAATAGATGCGCTCAGTAATGAACTAATGAATTTTATTGAACATTATTGAATAAATAATTAAAGAATAATTGCAACAAAGTAGAAAATCATAACTTTGAAAATTATTTAAGAATATTACTGCAGAATTGAAATGGTCATGAATGCTGATTTTCTTTTTATGCTGGCAGAATTCTAATATGGTGTAAAAACATAATTTAATTCATTGACGGTTTGCAAACAATTATAAATAAATTCCTACTAAATACCATTCTAACCAATTTTTGAAAGAAATTATTTTTCTGTAGATTAATAAGGTTTTCTGAAAAGTTTAAAAAAGTAAAAGTTTTAATGAATTGCTGTACTATTGTTATAAAAATGTTTATGACTATATGAAGAAAGAAAAAGTCAACAATTTCAATTAAATCAAATATGAGTTTTTCAGTCAACTAACTGTGAGAAGTAGAATAATTTTAACCACCAGATGGCGATTTTCGTTCCCGAAAGATTAATTTCAAAATATGAATAAAATCCTTTAATACAACATCACTTATTTAACTTCATTGTAGTCACTTTTAAGATACGTTTAAATGCAGTAGAAGTAAGTACAATGTTAATCTAAGGTATAACGTCCCCGAGTCGAAAAATTTCGATGGGTCTTAAATTGATTACATTGTTATAACATTATTTTTATATTGAATACATTGCTAAAAATTTTTATTTTACATTGCTAAGATTATTCTTACATTGAAAATGGTATAAGCAATGTTGAATTAATATATGGCAATATTAGCAATGTGAGAGTAAGATTATTAAGGTTTTATATGTAGATCTTGAGTTTACATTGGTTACGTTACTAATCATCCAGAGCAATATAACTAATATTAAACAAATATGAAGCAACGTTACCAATGTGGAAGAATTATTAAACATTATATGTGTGAATCTTGAGTTTACATTGGTTACATTGATAATAGTTTCTAGCAATATAACCAATGTCAAAAAAGAACATGGAAATATTATCAATCCCGAGGCGAAATTTTTCTAAGGACTTTTACATTGCATACAATGAATTTAGAAATATGAGCAATGTAAACTCAATGTGAACCAAATTTGAACTTCAATGTTTAGGATGACATTGCTTTCATATTAAAAATGTGGCATAATTCCCTTTTCAATAGTAGCAATGTGAACCTAAGATTATCTATGAATAACGAAGCAATGTAATAATGACGAAATAAATGTCATAAATTTAAGGTAGGCAATGCAAAGGAAATGTGATAAGAAATGTAAGGCAAGGTAGAGGGAATGCAATGGTTCACTAAATTTTTCAGGGTAATAATTAATGTTTTCTGCAAAGTTCATTTCATATTCTTTTAAATTCGGCCTGTAGATATTTACTGATTTTTAGTGCCAATCTAATTATTGGGAAGTTTATGAAAACTGATTGACACACAAGTTCAGAAAATATTGGCTTATCGATTTTAAAAGTATATGAAATGAACTTTGCAGAAAACATTAATTATGATCCTGAAGAATTTGCTGAACCATCAAATTAGAGTAAAATATTTATAAACAATTTCTTTTATCGATAAATATATATTTATAATATCAGTGCTCTGCAGTGGTCTGGGTGCGACCCGAAAGGTCCACACGACCAACTTCCCAGTGGAAAAAATAAAAAAACACCTCGAATAGAACCCGTTTCCAATTGTTTATAACAGATTTAAATGTTATGAACGAAAAAGCATGTTTTCATTTGTGTCATACAGTTGGTAACTTTTTTGCAGTAAAATAAAATATTACACGTTAATAGAACACAAATATGTTGCATAGATCTTGTTTTCTATTCTTTATAACAAATGGAATTGTTATAAACGGAATGAGTGTGTTTTTATTCATTTGATACGGTTACTTACGTCATTTCAGTAAAAGAAAAAATTATGCGTTAGAAGGATTCGAATATAACTCAAAGATCCTTTTTTTCATTATTTACAACAAATTGCATTGTTATACACGAAAAAAGTATGTTTTCATTTATCTGATACGGTTGGTAATATTTTTTTAGTAAAAGAAAAGTATTGTGCGTTAGAGTACTCATATATATAGCATGGATCCCTATTTTTATTGTTTATAACAATTTAAAACTTTTCATTTAAATATTACCATGATCAATAATCATTTGTTAGTAACAATATTCAATTGTTATGGACACAATTCCATATTATTAAACAATTATTATTGATTATTAGCGTCTTGAATGCTGTTTTCTCAATCCTGACACGAGTTTAAAATTCTTTCATTGCTGATTTTGTTTTTTAAAATTGGTTTTTTCGATGAAATATTGTCATCATATTTTCATACAAGTATTCTAATCATTTAATATTCATATTTTTTGATAAATTTTGGAATTTTGTCTAAAAAATGGTATAATTTATAAATTGCAAAATTCAAGTAATTTCCTTTTTTTTCAGTTTTTTGATTCTGCCAAAAAAATGGCTGGACCAATTTTTTTGAAAACCGAATCAGTTCTAAGTTGCGCAATTACGTGTCGAATGCAGTTGGTTCCACATCGATATCATTTTTTGTTCTCGAGATAATCGACCAGGAAAATTCCGAACGAACGTACGCACATACGTACATACACACACACACAGACGTCCACTGGAAAACAATCGTATTCGACTCTGGGGACCTTAAAACGTGGAGATATGTCAAAATTCGGGATTTGCAAAATCGGACCCATTACTATAACTTCCCACTAGAGGGTAGGGGCTACCGTAGAGGTGAACCCAAATAATGTAAGTAATTAATGAAGATCTTACAATATCAACATCTTATGCATAGCAGCTGTATTGAAGTGAAAGTCTGGAATATTTTGAAAAAACAGCATAACATAAGACAAATTAGACTATAAAACAACAATATTTAGTGTTCATAAATGATAAATGCCTCTAAAACTAACAGAAAGAAGCGTTGCTTTATTTAAAATTATTTTTTTCTTGACAACTGGTATTTACAACCGGGCTCTGCGTCGATATTACAATATTACCTATGAATTTTTAATCAAAAACTATACGCTTGTATTTATTGTTTAATAATAAACTAACCTTTAATTATAAAAACATTGTTAAATTTTGCGTTGCAAAGAATACCCTTATATACAATAGCTATTCATTAAATTAAATTGATTATGAACTAGCAGATTCCCGCGACTTCGTCCGCGAATAAGCCAATTCCAGAAACCTATTGCTGTGTGATAAGATTAATAAGAAAATAATATATGTAAGTATTGATAATAAAAAAAATGATTCGAATTCTATCGTAAGACTCAATTTCTGTTCCTTTATGATAAATTATATGTTACAAACGAAAAAGACGGTTTAAAATTATTTTACATGGTTTGAAACTTTATTCCAGTGAAAGAAAAAATTACGCGTTGGAAGAACTCAAAAATATTGAAAAATCCCTTTTTCTATTTTTTATAACAAATTCAATTGTTATAAACGAAAGGAGGATGCTTCCATACATTTTACATGGTTTGTAACTTCATTTCAGTTCTAAGTTGCGCAATTACGTGTCGAATGCAGTTGGTTCCACATCGATATCATTTTTTGTTCTCGAGATAGTCGAGGCGAAAAATAATTCCGAGCAAAATCAATCCAGTAGTTTTTTATGCAGAATCAAAAAACTGAAAAAAATAATGAACTACCTGAATTTTGAAATTTATAAATTATATCATTTTTTAGCGAAAATTAAAAACTACTGGATAAAAAATAAAAAACTACTGGATTGATTTTGCTCGGAATTATTTTTCGCCTCGACTATCTCGAGAACAAAAAATGATATCGATGTGGAACCAACTGCATTCGACACGTAATTGCGCAACTTAGAACTGATTCGGTTTTCAAAAAAATTGGTCCAGCCATTTTTTTGGCAGAATCAAAAAACTGTAAAAAAGGAAATTACTTGAATTTTGCAATTTATAAATTATACCATTTTTTAGACAAAATTCCAAAATTTATCAAAAAATATGAATATTAAATGATTAGAATACTTGTATGAAAATATGATGACAATATTTCATCGAAAAAACCAATTTTAAAAAACAAAATCAGCAATGAAAGAATTTTAAACTCGTGTCAGGATTGAGAAAACAGCATTCAAGACGCTAATAATCAATAATAATTGTTTAATAATATGGAATTGTGTCCATAACAATTGAATATTGTTACTAACAAATGATTATTGATCATGGTAATATTTAAATGAAAAGTTTTAAATTGTTATAAACAATAAAAATAGGGATCCATGCTATATATATGAGTACTCTAACGCACAATACTTTTCTTTTACTAAAAAAATATTACCAACCGTATCAGATAAATGAAAACATACTTTTTTCGTGTATAACAATGCAATTTGTTATAAACAATTGGAAACGGGTTCTACTCGGGGTGTTTTTTCATTTTTCCCACTGTGAAGTTGGTTGTGTGGACCTTTCGGGTCGCACCCAGACCACTGCAGAGCACTGATATTTTCCATATTATTCAAGTCCTGTTGATGCTTTCCACTTCCAATTGCTTGATGATATAGTTGAGCCATTTGAAGTGGTTGATGTACTGTTACATATGTAATGAAATTATTATTTGGTGATATTGGAGGGTTTATCTATATCTTTCTGCGGCTGTTGACTTTAATTTTGTCTTTTAATATAGTCTTCTAATTCCTCTAGATGATCTATTTAACAAATAATATGAAAAACTGTAGTTTTATGTCAAAAATGCGCTTAGAATTAAAATTGCTATAGTACTAATGTCACACTTGCATATAGCTAGATGTACGTCTTAACACTTTTATTCAAAAAGAATCGTTATTTCACTATAAATCCAACATTATCAAAAAAATAATAATATTAAATAGTGTTACTTACCATTCATTGAAAGAATTTTTACATCTTCGCCGTGAATGCTGCAGATTGTTCGTTCTTTTCTATATTTTTTTGGTATTGCAGATAATGGGAAAATCAAATGTGTTCTTGTCCTTAACCACCAAATTTGCACGTATTGAGTCTTAGCACGCATAATTATTAGTTATTAATTATAACGATTATAATAATTCACTCTTTTCAAAACCCAATAGTTATATCAAAACGACGCGCACAAAGAAGAAGGTAATGCTAGGTTATTCTAACCTTTCACAAGTATAGAAAGCGTCACAATGCTGCAATGGCGTCACGAACTTCAACTTCCAATGCATAGATTATATCGACCAATGAGCGCGTAATGAGGGCGCTGTTGGAAAATTTGAAATAGCAGCGAATGTGAATGTTATATTCAAAATATTTGGTTTCATACAATTAATAAACGATTTAAAAAAAAGAAAACAAGAAAAAAAACGTTATAACAACATAACGAATACTTTACATTTTTCATGATATATACCATCAACATTATAAGTACAATACGCAATTATTGTTCAACATTGAGCCGTCTGAAATCAGGTAGACTAAGAAGTTAAAAGTTATTTCTTACCTGCATTTTCCTAATAATGATGCTACTCAATTATGTATATTGGAAATGTTGGCAACATTAACTATTTTTCGTGAGCAAACTTAGTGCCACATCATTCTATCGCTTCATCTTGAAGTTATAATATATAATTACTTATTGGATTTAATTCCAAATTCATTGATAATGTCTTGTAAACTCTTGAGATCTTAGTAAAAAACAATACAGAGCTCGTTTAATTCCTTTAATTGATTGTGTTAATAATATTCGACATGAAGATTCCGTATCAATGAGGTCAGTATATAATTGTTTATCAATTAGATGTAAAGTACAAAATTAAAGAAGACTTAAAATTATCAAAAATATGAAAATGTTGATGAAGTACGATCTTATGAACAGAACAATATACCTGACAATAATGAAATGAATATTGTTTCCAATATACTTTTCAGTAATATTGGTGATGAGCATGATAATCATGTGTAAGTATTATTGGTTCTTTATAAATTATGGTATAAAGATTGCATTAATATACTTTCCATAATATTTGAATTCGGAAGATTGGTTGGTAAAATACTACCAGAAGATAAAGGATCGTATTATTTTCACTCGAACAATATTATCGCAGCAGATGAAAATAGTGACACGTTCGAAGTGAACTTGGATACGGATAACGAAGAGGAAAATAGTGAAACCGATGATAATGAAAATGATAGTGAAGATGAAACACGTTATTATGCTGATGATCCTTATACGATGATGCAGAAATTACAATACGTGAGAGCATGCTGTTAATTCTTAGCATTTTTTTAAAATATAATCTACCTATAACATGCATTGCTGATTTAATCAAATTCGGAGAGCTCCATGCTCTACCACAAGGATTAAAAAGAAATAGTGTCCATAAATTAAAAAAATTTTTTAATATTAAAAAAAATAGTATCTAAAAACATTTTTATTGTTCTACCTGCAGTAAAAATGTTGAAAATGCTAATGACATATGTACAATATGTTTTTCACGAAAAAATTCGCATTTTATTGAAATGCCAATAATAGACCACATACAAAAGATGTTCAAAAGAAAAAACTTCTATAATCTTCTCCAAAAAACATCTGAAAGGCTTAAAAAAATTTCGAAAGGAATTGAAATTGCATTACCTTCGAAAGAAAAAATAAGAGTAAAAGTAATCTTATTACCAGGGGTTGCTGATTTATCAGCAAAATGTGATTGTCTTAATTTTGCATATTTTAGTGGCGATTATGGTTGTCCAGCTTGCTTTTACAAAGGTAAAAAACTGAAGTTGGGTCCAAGATCATCTGTGCAAATATTTCCATACATTGTAAATATCGAATTAAAAACCTCTAAAAAGTGTATTGAACTCGCTGAAGAATCAACTTCAGATAATCTACAGATGGGAATTAAAGGATATTCAGCCTTTTCCAAGATGATGCCTGACTTTATAAGAGGAGTGGCCATTGACAGAATGCATGTTGTCGATGGTGGAGTATTTAAAAAATTGTTAACATTGATGTGTGATAAATGACTTAGAGATGAACCGTTTTCGCTATATACAAATATTAATGAAATCAAACAGACGTCTAAAATTAATTAAACCTCCAAAGTTTATTCATCGAATGCCTCGAGAAGTGAACGACTTAGTGCATTGGAAAACATCAGAATTAAAACATTTCATGTTCTATTATTCACTAGTAGTGTTTGAAAATATAATGAAAGCTGATTACTTTGAACATCTTTTACTTTTAGTTATGGGAATCTATGTATTAAGTAAAGATAAAGTGTCGATCGAAATGATCGACATTGCAAATGATTTTTTTAATCGTTTTCTCAGATTGTTTGACGAGCTGTATGGTCGAAAATATTCTTCAATCAATATCCACACATTATCACATCTAGCTAATACTGTCAAAGAATTAGATCCATATTTGCATCGATAAAGCAGCCCATAGTCAAATAAACCCATTTATTTTTAATGTCATCTGCAGACACTACACTGTAAGTAAAAAAACTAGTTATGAAAGCCACAAAAAACTTGTTTTCGATCTCTAATTAATTGGCAATAGATTTAAATTTAAAAAACTAAAAAAAAAACCTTAATGACAAATAAATAAAAAATGGGTGCCGCCCAAAATGACAAGATTAATTCTTTGAACGTGTACCCGGTTGACAGCGTGCACGTTAACTACAAGCAATGACACGTCACTCTGACACTCTGCTCTTATAGTCTACTCCACTGTATTGCCTATACGATCTCTCTAATAGCACGAATTCATAGGCAATGTTGCTGTATTCGTCACTGAATTCTCTCCGCTCTTCTACTATGTACTACCAGCCGTTCTCTTGACTGATCTAAAATCCTGACAGGAAATTATGTACCAATGTACAACCCATTGAAATTTTTCGACTCGGGTCATTTTAAAACACCTTAAATACAATGAAATGAAACGATTTGTAGTAATTACTTGTAATTATTCCATTGTCATTTGGATGTGGGGTTCCAGATCATACTTTCATTTAAGCTGTAAGAGGGACTGTGGAGTGGGGAGACACAAAAGGACAAGTACAAGCACGATAAATAGAAGAATTCACACGAGTCTATAATAAACAATAATTCATCTTTAGTTTCGGCATATTTTTAATAAAAAAAATTGGTAATTATGCAGAATTAAGCTCATCCACCTAACAGACGTGACAAATAAACCATTGAAATCAGGAATCAAATCTGGACACTTTAATAACGCGCTGAATGTTCTATCATTCATGCTATTCTAAACTAATGTAAATTTTCCAATTGATTATTTCTGTATTTGTTTTACATGCTCCCATCTCCCTTTTTTGTACACTTCGTTATGTCTTTTACGAATTTGAATTAATGATTCGACAATAATTCAATTTTTTCTGGACAAGTACACACAGAGAAATGTATAGTAAGAATTACTCTAAATTTTATGGTAATTTAATGACACTGCAGGGTGGCAGTAATAAGTACTATACACATTGTAAAAAATACTGTGCCCATTGTTGAATTTACTAAACTGCATAGTAATTTTTAGGGTGAAATTAGAGTAAAAATAACTATGCAGTTTAGTAAATTCAACAATGGGCACAGTATTTTTTACAATGTGTATAGTACTTATTACTGCCACCCTGCAGTGTCATTAAATTACCATAAAATTTAGGGTAATTTTTACTATACATTTCTCTGCGTGTAGGCAAGCTACCGTGATAGTGTATGATTATCAAAAAACATAATTAGATTTGATACATTTTCCCATTTTTAACATATTTGTTTATCTAATGATTCTTTATTAGTAATTTCAACGTTTTCCTGATATTTATCACTGCAAGGGTTGAAAGAATGCATGCGAAAAAAAAACAGAAACCAAGCTACTGACTTAACACGAGTAGTATGAAATAGATCAGTGAAAGAATCGATGAGAAAAAATGTACCACGAACTTCCGTTTCCTTTGTGATTGTTTGAATAATCTTGTTGTAATCTTCAGCCACAAAACGTTCCTTGTCTATTTTCTGTGGAGCACTAAAACAGATTGAGTAGTTGGTGGCTAACGAAACTAGAGTTTCGTATCCTTGATTACCGTATTCGGTGTCTGAGTATACTACTGACACATAAGTCCACTCGAACCTCCTAGAACAATGTCAAATGAAACTTCTTGAAACTAGACCACTTCTTCGACCTCAAAGTTCAATTGATTTTTTTTATTCAATTACATTTTAATATTGGTAGAAGAAACTTACTTGAGAATTTCTAACATTGCATGCGCTTGATTTACGTCACTTGAAACAGTTCGAAAAAAATGGGGATATTTCTCCTTGTTACTGAGGGATGGAGAAGTTGCCATGTAGGATATTTGAGGAACGCCAAATAACCTTAGCATTGAAGCAACCTGCAAAGAATGAAATAAGTACTTTGACTTTGTATCATAATCTTTATATATATATATATATATATATATGTATTTATATATACTATAAAATCCCTCTATTATCTGTTATTTTTATTGTATTTAAGAATAAGTGAATTTCAAAGAAGTAAAATAAGGAAAAAAGTATTTTGAAATGCTCTAAGTAATCTTTCAATAGATTGTTAGATTATTGGGTTATTAGGGATCCAAAAATTAAAAAAAAAATTATTACACAATTTCGATTTTGTGTAGAATATAAAAATTGAATTTCAAAAGTTCGCAAATGGAATTTCGAGTAGCCTTAGAGATTAGCATATTTTTATAACTTTTACAGTGAATGATTTTCAAAGGAAATCTTCCTGAGAGTAACACAGTCGGATAAATGCAGTACCTTTGTACAGTCATGTAAGCCATTATAGTTATCTCATGAACAGCCTTCGCCCAAATTACTATGATAACTTCAAAATATTCTCAATCATAGGGAAGTTTAAAATGAATATGGAACTATTTGCATTCTAATCGGGAGTTAACATGCATCTTTCTTGAGATCTTCAATAAAACTTTTTATCATATAACGCTTGGTTCATAAGACTTTTGCTCCATATCACTGCAAACTATTATGTATAAATATTTTAGTATTTTTGACAAAATAAACAAAGTTAGTTCAATTGTTTAAAAACAAATGAAAATAAAATTTTTACATGTTTCTAACCAGTTTAATAAATCAATATGGAGTTAAATTAAATGGTAATAGATGAAACTTCTTAATGACAATGATGAGTTTATTATATTGGGAAAAATTAATCAATCTAGTGTTTAATTAAAGTTTTATAACTAGAAGTTCGACTCTTCTGGTAAAAGAGTTTACTGAAGTGTTTTATTCAACCTTTTAAACGAGTTGTTTACTTCCTAATTGTTGTGACAAGTTGAAAGAGTCAATTTAATCAAATTTTCAACTTTATCAATCTTTTGATAAATCAACTGAATCCAAAATGCATTACTTTTATTATGTACTTGATTTTTTTTTGTCTATTTTTCTGACTTATCCGTATTTTGATGTGACTATATTTGAAAAGAGTATTTCAATGCATTGCAAATTAATAAAAAAATTCTTTGTTTATTGATAAAAAATGAATTTTTTGAGTAAAATAATGTTGATTCTTTACACATGAAATCTTTTAGATTCAGATTAAAAGGTCCCAAGTCGAAATTGGGTATGCCTAACGGCTATTGAAATTTTAGTCATGAGTTAACTGTTGGATAAACACTTAATTCGAATCCGACAAGATCTTTGACTCAGTATATGGTAAAGTAAGGTTAATTGGTGAAACAGACTCTCAAAAGTCATTTAAAACGTTATCTACACACGCAGTAACATAAAGTTATGCAACCAGTTCGCTACAAAGGTGGACAAGACGTAGTGATACATCACTCCGCGCTATTGCGTATAGGTAATATCTTGAAAGACTTTTGAGAGTTTATCACCAAATAACCTTACTTCACCCTACCGAGTATATCTGAAGCGGATCATGGAAGGTTGGGTTTATTTGAATAATGACATTTGTACAAAAATGAAGTTGTCCTTTATTTATTGAGTAAAACTTTACTGCGTGAAGTGCGATGATGAATCATACGGTGTTTTACTCCGACGTTCGCTTGTTACGAACGAAAAATTGGGACACAGCCTAATTCGTATCCTTATTAACTAGGTGATCGACCTGACGACATATATAATGTACTTTTTTATGTGATTATCGCGATAAAAGGATTTATATATATGTGAAAATGGTTTGGAATTTCTGATCGATTAATTAAATTTTGTCTCACCTGCAATGTTACAGAACTAGATTGTTCTGCTAATACGGTAACAACTTTATCAAATCCTTCTCCTTCAAATCGTGGAACACTTCCGTCTGAACACTGGAATTCTTGCTCATGATACTCATTGATGTGGGCAATAAAACCTGTAAATCATTAATATCAATAAAAACAATAACTATTTAATTAGTTGACTGTTGATAATTGTTTCCTATTAGTTAAAAAACTATAAGATTCATTGCAAATAAATTTTTTAGGATAAAGTCCCTATTGGGGGACACTTTATTTTTCTAATTTTTTAATTCATGTAGACGACTCTACATCTAGACCGATAGTCAAACTGGCAGCTGTATTTCTCCTGCAAACTTTAGTTCATTGTTCATGATTTTGTCCTCATCTTAGTCTGTTTTTCTCCGCTTATTTTCCATTAGGAAGTTATTGTAACGGGGTCGATTTTTGAAATTCCTAATTTTATCATATCTTTTCGTTTTGAGACATTTGAAAGCATATTAGAAGGTTTAAACATGGATGTATGTATGTACGTATGTACGTGCGCACTTTTAGAAGTGCTGAAAGCCTTAAAATTAAACTTAAAAAATGCATTTTCTCGTGGAAGGAAAAGATACATGTATTTATACTATTGAAATAACATCTATCTGTAAAATTCATACAAAATTAGATGAAGGCCATGAGATTGATTTTCACTGTCCAAGTGATAATGAAATGACAACTATTTCTGGAAAAATTTTATATCTTTCAGGTAAATAAATCAATCATGAAATAACTATTTATGATGCATAAAAAAAGTATGTAAAAAATGCTTGATAGAACGATTTGATCTAAAAGAATCTTATAATTGAATAATCAACTAATTACATACATAAAATAAATAACAAATAATACAATTGTAAATATAAAATAAATAACAAATAATATCATTGTATATACAAAATATATAGAAAAAAAAATTTCAGAGTCTTTGGACAAAGTCAATCGTCAGTCAAACGTGTCTTAAAGAGTCGCAAATCCTCTAAAAAAAGTACCTCGAAATCCTCATAAACTAAGCCAAACAACAAGCCTAATTTATTAAGTGCAGAAATTTTGTAAAATTTAGATAAAGATAAGCCAGCCTGGAGAGCTGCCATCATTATCAGAAGATGAAAGACAAATAAAATATACTAGAGAAATGATAACAGCAAATTTCAAAGAAGAAAAAAATCAACTTTCAATTATGGTGGTGACCAAAAAATTAAAGATACGAAATGGAGATTAAAATATCCAGAAGCAATACCTGGAATAACAACGGAGCTTATGAAGGGTTCTGAAATTTATGTAGAGACTGCTACTTTTGAAATGTTTAAAAGAAGAGCCAGATATCAAAAACCCTTAGCACGAGGTTTATTGGATCTCATTTATACTGAAGCTGTCCTCAGAACCTGTCCACTATGTGGTGGACAGCCAAAAAATTTAGATGCAAGTGGAAATAATAGTGTTAGAAGACCACTTGACCAACATGCTCGGAAAATTTTGATGAATTTCGTGGAAGAGCATCGGGTTCTCCAACGTTTGGAAAAAATTGATGATTCTGTCATCGACGGAAGTTTAAGAAATAAATTGTGGGACAAAAAATAAAAAAAATGAAAATGAATATTTAAAATATTTAAATTCTTATTTGTTTGACAATTATTGTTAGTTAAGTCATTCATTAATTTCTTGTATTTTAAATAATAATACAGTGGTTAAAAAACATTTTATTATTTAGTAATTTTTACAGTTTGCATTCAATTCTATATGTATTTGTTGAAATTAAAATAAAAAAATGTTTAATTTATGAATGTTTTCATTTTCATATATGATTTGTATAGGATTCATATCTGGCCAGTTTCACAGATGAAATAAAAATTATAGTATTTAATAAAATTATCGTTATTGCAGTGCGAAATTGTAATTTTTTTGGTCTCGATTCAGATAATTTTGTTTGTCGCAACCTCGTCACTGAGCCGAGGCCACGTGTTTTAATTTTTAATTAATTGTTGTGAGGAGTGTGAAGGATTTTATGGCCGGACATTGTCGAAGTTAATGACGCGAATGTGTCCGAGCGCTTCTCACCCATGATGCATGCATGCATGTGTTCAACTCGACCCAACAAATTTCATTATTTGTAAAGAAAATTTACGTATTATAAATGAAACTTATATATATACAACTGTTCTTATGACAGTGTATGCGTAGAATATCGGTAATTTTTATAATGCCAATTAATAAAGTTTATTACATTCAAATGTCACATTGTGAACATTTCCATTGTGTTACATTGAAACTTGATAATAATAAAACATTAGATGGTAATGTTTTTTACTGTTTTCTTGAAAAATGACATTGTGACTACGTAATTATTGATAGATAAAGCAGTTTTACAATCGTGAAACTATCACCATTTTATGCACTATTTACTCTTTTATATTGAAAGATTTATCAATTCACGTTGTAATAATTACTGCATATTTTAAAGATGTAATTATTACAATTTTATGAACGAAGTGACACTGTGTTACGTCACGTTGTAAAATTTGATCAGGTATACTGGTAAAAGTTATACAAAGAAAGCTAAACTTAATTGCTTCAAAGTTATAAAACTCGGTCAAAGACTTTGAACTTCGCTGAAAGTCATTAGGGACTTTAATCTTTTCTTGCATATTAGACAATCTTGCTTTTGAGTTTTGACTCAGTTTATGTGGTTTGTTGATTTTTCGATCAATCCAGTACTCGAAAAGTTTCTTCATCACTCCTAGGCTAACCGAGTGCATTAAGTGAAAAGTTTTTTTTCATACCTGCGTACTTTCGGCCTCGATTTTAAAGCAGAAAGTCTAACTTTTGGGCATTGGTCAAGCTACACGTACGTCCTCTGTAACAGCGGGAGTGAAAACATACTCATGTGCACGAGACTTCCATTGTACTACCAATCGCGCCAGAGTCGCTAACTATCGCTTGTAAACTCAAAGTTTAAGGTTAAATAACAACTAATTTGTACTAACGTTTGTCAGTTCGTCAGTCTGGATATTATTGCGAAAAGATTGAGAAAAGAATAATAATGAACGAAACATCATCATCGGATGAAACGACGGATGAAGAAGAAATACTGGAAATGTTGAAGCAGAAGCGAAATTGATCGTAGAAAAAAATCTGCTGAGAGATGCATGCTGGTGTATGAAACCTAAAAAAATAGGAACAAAAGAATAAAAATACCTTATCAAAGTCTGAGGAAAGTAATTTAGTTATAATTTTATTGTATATGGTTGAGTGCAAAGTAAAGTCCATCTACTCTATGGAGTGTCTTCTTTATACTAAAAAAACAACGTTGAACACCAAAGATGATATTGACATTAGTAAATTTTATGAACTAAAAACTCTTATTAAAAATAATGCTAAAGGGTACAAGCCAAATAAATCTTGTGTATTAACGTCGAATGAAATATTAGAATTTATAAACAAAGCACCGGACCATGTATATCTAGCTTCAAAAGTATGTATTTATAACTATTTTTATTAATTATTCAGTTAATCAGTTAATTTCTATCCGCCTTTTCATATTTTAAGGTTATTCTCATCTTTGGTATTTGTGGGGCTACCAGGTGTGAAAAACTTAAAGTTGTCAACGTAAAAGTCCTTGGTGACCAATACCTTGTTTCAATAATACAAAGAATGATGTGCCTCGTAAATTTTTAATTGGAGATCGTTGTTATGAAAGAGTCAAGGAATATATATCATTAAAATACTGCTAATTTACCTACTAATTTTCCCACTGAAAGATTTTTATTCAATATCATAATAGTAAATGCCAACGCCAAGTTATAGGCAGAAACAGTATTGGACTAATTCCTAAATTTATAGTTTCATATTTGAAATTGAAGAATCCAGGCCGTTATACGGGGCATTGTTTTCGTGGAACGGCAGCTACACTGTTATCTAATTCTGGAGCAAACGCTAATATGTTCAAGCAATGAGGAGGGTGGAATACATCTAGTATAGTAGAAGATAACTTTTTCATTGATTTAAAAAAATTACCCATATTTACTATAATATACAGACTTTAAATATATTCGAACTTTATTCTCCATGAAATACGCGGTTATACTCAAATATTACATACTTAATCTATATTTATACTTATAATTAATATATATTTCTACAGGATATGTGGAAAATTGTAACGAGGTAGAATTTTCACCATATAATAATCCCTCACTACAACACAGATAAAATTTATTTAAAGTTCAAGCCCCTGCCCTTTGGCTACTCTCGCGCCGCGAGCGGAGAAAAAGTGTACTAAGACGGCGTCGATAGACCAATCAATGACAATTAGGATTCCTATTGGCTATTGATTTTCTCGAAGACGCTACCGGTGTCCAGCAGTCAGCCATAGCGTAGAATGTCGACAGGTTGTCAGCTAATTCATGGCTGTTTGGGCAAATTTTATTGTAATAATTGTACCACACAGACGTGTGTCCTATGGAAAAAAATTTTTTTAAGTGTGGGATTGTGTATTACTGAACCTTACGGAGGAGTCCAGTGGATCCGACCTAGTGTTCCTAAAAGCATTTTCGTGGCTACAGTCTATAGCAGCAGCTTGGCTTCGTAGCAGCCATCTTGGAAGCCGGCAAACGGAATTTATACATCAGTTGACCTAACGAGGTACCAAGTAAGAAAATATCTATTGTTCTGGCTTCGCTTTCAAATGAGAAAACTTTGTAGCATAGGATAAAATCGTCTAGATGTAATATTAATGAAATTTAATGAGTGAGTGTCACGCGTGTGGGTTATGTTCGTGTGAGTGTTTTTGCGCCTTTTCCTGTGAAGCTCGGCCTTCTGCTCGCTTCGACCATTAAAATTTCGGCGTCTAGTAAACTAACGTATTTATAGTTGAGAACAATTTTTAGGAATTTTCCTCTATTGAAAAATTATTAAAACTATGTAATTTGATTATTGTAATGTCATTGATACAAAAATTATCTACCCTACATCTCGATCGTAATCAGATAGTAAAATCTTTAGAAATTGTAAACTAAATGCGATGTAATCGTTAACTCAAATTTAAAATTAACTACGTCTAAAATCGCGTATTATTCCCCGAGAATTTTTCTACGAC